CATCGCATTTTACAAAAATCTGGCCGCACGCAGCTTTTATGCCATTTAATACACCTCATTTGCATGTCATCTGCCCATCAATTGAAAGATTTCCCTGTGGCACATGCCGCAGAATTATTGAAAGTCGACGGAAAAGAAGAAAATGAAGGAAAAGAGAGAGAAATAACATGTTGGCTTAAAAAAAAATAAAAAACATAAAAAGAATACAAAATGTTTTTCCATTTTTTGGCCTGAAACCTTCGGCTTGTGAGGCAAACATCTTGCCACGGAGCTATGCCCAGCATATGTTTCCGTAAGCTTTTGGGCTCAAAAAAAAAAACAAAAAAAATGGAAAAAACTTAAAAAATTAAATAAAACAATTTCAGCACGCATTGCTTCAAGTGCCGAGCCTTAAATGCCATGTTTGAACCGACACCAAAAAAATACGTCCTGCATTCTAAAGCAAATTGATTTTGTCTGCGGCCAATTATTAAAATTCAATTAGAATTTTGTTTACGCCACTTTAAAATTTGATTTTTTTCTATTGAATTTTACAAAAAGGCACTTGCTGTCTTGTAAAGTGCATTAGCATAATTAATTTGTGGCTGGACGAACGGACAAAAAGTGTAGAAAATAAGTATAGTATATAACATTTTGTCCTTAGTTTTTATAGCTCTCTCGTATGGCTGTGCAATGATGCAGAGGGACAGACGCTGAAAAGTATGCAATATAACTTTTTATGGTATATTTCAACGAACTGCGCCGAGCTTCACATGCATGTGTCACTCATAATATGCCCTCATGTCTGTCCGGCATTGTTCTGTCCGTGTCGTGAGCAGCTGCCATTTAATGCTCCTACTACCACTGAGCACAAATTGCTATTTATTGCGGGCTGCGAGCTCGCAGCACTTCCTCATACGAACGAGCATCGCTTAAGTGGCAGCTTATTTCCTGTCATTAGTTATTTGTACAAGTGTCTTGTCTGGTGCATGAAATTCAGCCAGCTGCTTGTTTTATTTGCATTTATGAGCACATTTATTTTCCCTAAGCAACAGGCAGCGATTTCATATACATATTAGTAAATGAGCTCTTGTATTTGCTATTAGAGCTACAAATCGGGATAAGCCACCTCACGTCTTCCATTCATAATTTCAATTCCATTTGCAATCGCGATACAAAGTAAACAATTTGAAGCACAGGGCGTCAGTGTTGGTAAACAATAAAAATTACAGGCCAACAGCCAACAATAATGCTAGTTTATTGATAATGCACTCGACACATTGTGGAGTAACATCGCTGTTAACATGCATTCAAAATCGATAGTAAATTGGTGTGGGCAACGTTAGTACGCCCAGAGAGGAATATGCAATCGATAAATAAGTCAAAGCTAATTTATCGTGAGCCCAACTTCTATAAAAGCATCAAATTAATTTGTTTTTTTTTTTTTTTTTTTTTTTTGTTCCCTATGAAGCTGTCAATTTTCCACTTGATTAGCTGCGTCAATTTGCTACTGATACACTAAATCAAAGCATAATTTATGCATTGCCTTTTATAATACATACAAATTGGTTTCAGTTTCTTTTGTCAGGCCTAATTTAGCTGGGCCCAGGCTCAGTGATTAAAGTTTCAAGTGCGTGGCTCAAGCAGTCGGAAAATGTTGCTGATTAAAGCGAAGGAAAAGAGGAAGCAAAAATGCGTAGCTTGTTATTAAATTTTGGGAAAAGCTGAGTGGAAGCACATATACAAAACAAGGCACACTCGTTGAAAGTCGCTCTACTTAACCCTTAAGTTGAACTTCAAAGTGTTTTAGGGCCTACGCCTGATTAAAGCTGAAATTCTCGGAATGCCTGTATAAAGAGGCCCAGTATCCATATTTATTGCAACCACTAAACAAATAATTAAAGTTCCCTTGATCTCAGTGGTCTTGAGTTCAATGCACCGCCTGGGCTCAACTGTGAAAGTGGCTTGAAAAGTAATTAAAAGTGTTTCTCCTTAAACACCTCTGCATTAGACTTTGCGATAATTATTAAACAATCTTTAAATCTAAGCTCTACCATTTTTAGTTACAACTTTTGCATAACTTTTTGCGATTTTGCTTTGACCTAACCCAAAAGGCGGGTGCGCAAACATTTCCAGGTTGACGTCCCTGTCACTTCGGAGTTTTTTTTCCATCTCTTTTCGTTTTGGGTGCGGGAACAATAAAAGTTTTGTTTGTATCATAAAAGCGTCCCTTTTTGCTTAGATTTGTTGCCTCTATCTTTATGGCAAGGACAGTGAGAATGAAATACACACGTACATATATATGTATGTGTGAGTGCGAGTTTGCGTGTGCGTCCCTTTTATGGCATACTTTCGCATAACATTTTTGGGACAGCCTCAGTGCGTAAAAGTGTACCGAATGCGCAATTAGCATAACAAATGCTCAGAAAACAAAAATTTCCACCCAAATCCCATATGCAACACTTTCTCCTGTCTTCCTCTTATTGTTATTCCTCTTCTGGCTACATACGTACATACATGTGTAGCTGTGCCCATTCCAATTTAATTTCATAATTTCGAAATGCTTAGATATATGTAAGTGGGCTCATCTTGTTGGCGGACAATCAGGCTGCTTGCTTTCTTTATTCTTTATAGGGAGGGATATATGCACATCAAGTTAATGTATAGACAGATTAACAAATGCTTGGCCATAAAAACATCTTTACAAATTGTTTCCTTTATGAAAATTTTGCAGAGGCTCTGCTATTTTATGAGCTTAGACGGTAGGCGTGTAAACCTCTTATGAAACATGAAAGCGAATGCGTGCTTAAATGAAAGCAGCTTTTAAGTATTAAAGCCAATTTGAATTTAAAACAAAATTTCACACATGTCCGACTAGGAGATACCTGGAAAATTTATCCTTCAAGCTTTATTTCAAATTTTCAAAACAGAGTACTACTATTAATATCTTTAAAGGACGAAGGCAAGGGGAATACTTATTCATATGTTACTTGTGCTGGGAGATCCTACGTGTTAAATTACAAGTTTACTCCACTTGTCAGCCTCAACTTAAATTTCTGTGCACATCTGTTTCAATGTGCCAAGAATATTCAATTTGATGAATTCACAAACTATGTTCATGACATGCCTGATATATGTATGTACAAGTATATACATGTATTTATATAAGTATATTTCCTTATATTTTGTATATTTAAATATATGAAACTTGAAGTCGTGTGCCAATATAATTTGCATATGGCTCGAGCTCTTCCTCTGGTACTCGTTTTGCATGCTCCCTCTTAAAGTGGAAAACAGTTGAACAGTTGAAGAATACAATTTGCATATCCCTGAGAAGTAGTTTTTTAAATTAATTTAATGTGGCTTATAGCGTGTGCTGCTATGCCCATGAAAGTTAGAGCTTCACGCACATTTCTAATGAGTTGGCCAACAAACGGACCGTGACTTGTCGCCCACCCCTAGCTGAAGCGGCCACTCCCATAGGTAGATACCTGGCCCAAGTAGAATTACCTGTGCGATTTTATCAGCTGTTGGCGCGGCACGTGTTTTTCCCCAGTTGCCTCCGAAAGCAAGAGCTATGCAAATATTTTGCATGCGACCTACGTCACAATACTTAATTAGAGAGCTAATCTTGAAGCGAAGTAAAGTCGCAATTAACTGTACACTGTAGTTGTTGGAAAACCGGGTGTATCTAGAGCTACTAAAATGTGCGAAAGGCAAATTAATAAATTCTTATTAATCAAAATTGTTCTGCTCATAATCGATAATAATGCCCGAAATGAATTAATATCAATCAATAAACCAAGTTATCAGAGTCAAGCCAGATCTAATTTGGCACTCAGAAGAGGAGTATTTCATTTTTTTAGCCAACCTTTCAATGCCATCTTAAATTTAAAAAATTATAAAGCATATATACATAATTTATATTGAGTTTTAGAGTATTCCCCAGTCTTGTAGAGCCCAGGCTTTTCATTTTTCGCTGATGTCATCTAAAGTTAAATAATTTTAATTAAGAACTCAAAGCAGCTGCGTTGTCCCGTGAAATGCTGTGGGGAGCGGTGGTATTTCGTATTGGCAGGAGCTCAAACAAAAGAATATATATATGAGAAAACAACAATTTATTTCTTTAGATGTCAGCAATAGATATCCTTGCCCAAAATAACAGCAAAGAACGTCGCAGCACACACGCGTGTTATTTCTTTATGAGAGTGTAAAGCAGACACAATTTGAATTTATTGCCGGGGTCAGCTTTATAAACATTGCCCAAAAAATGTCACAGTTGTGCGATTTTTCACGGCGCAACGAGTCTCATTAAAGTTAATTTATCCGGGCAGGTTTTCCGTAAGGCAGTAAGGCACGGCAATCCGCATATGTCGTGCATATAATTTCATGAATTATTTAACACGATTTGATGGACTGTGAACTGTCATGCAGGCATAAAACGCAACCAAATTAGTTTTAGCTAATTGACTAGCAGATACCCTGAAATAATAGATAATTTATAAGATATATATTCCTTGATTCCATTAACCAATTCCCAATATGGATATTGTAAAAGCTGACTTGCTGGCCCACTCTTTTAAGCTCTAAGTGAATGTAATATTATTTATATAAAAAAGTAAATCTGCTATTTAAATTTATATGATTATAAGTATATATTTTTACGCCGACGATTTTAAATACATTATTTTAAATACATTTATCAAATGCATAAACAACTCCTTATCAGCTTTTCTAAACGGCTTAGCTCATAAAACCACATTCATAAAGCTTATCCCCTAAAACATGCATGAGCATGCACTCCCAAGCTTAAAGCTAGCTTCGACCTGTGGCGGGGGCGTCAGAGCTTCATAATCTAATCTTTGGCTGTGTGAGCAGCGCACGTCAACTTTGCTCCAACCACAAAAATTGTCTTGTTGGCTGTCTTCTAATTATGATTCTATGCATACATATATGTATGTATATACCCAGAGAGACAGAGAGGGTTGATATAAACGTAATATTTAGTTAAAGCCAAATACCGTGCTTTCATCTTCATCATCGTCTTCGTCGTCATCTTCATCGTCCTCATCGTCCCCGCTACCATCCCCATCCCCATCGTCATCAGCATCGGTAGCTGCATTTTTTTTCTCATCGCTGCGAGTAGTTGACGCTGTCGAATTTTCGCTGCTGCCGATGCCACTGGATGCGCCGTTGCCTATGCCGCCGCCATTGGAGTTGTTGCTGTTGCTGTTGCTGTTGCTATTGCTGTTGCTGTTGCAGTTGCTGTTGCAGTTGGCGGTAGTCATGTTGTCAAGCAGGCCTTGACCATGACCATTGGCAGCTTGGTTTCTGTTGCTGCCGCTGCCAGCGCTCTTCAAGTTTGTGGGCATTGTGAAAGGCGGCCGGCAATCGGAAGCGCGCCTTTTACCTCGTTAAATTGTGAATTATAAGCGGCATTGCCACCAAACGGCGGCACTTTGATTTTGGCAACACTGACACTCAAGCACACACGCACAACCCTAACACACGCCCACTCACACACACGCACACACACAAAATGTGGTCACAGCTGCGCCTTGATGCTATAAAAAGTTTACGTTCTTTCGAGTTGACTGTTGATTTCTCCGTTTTGCATAACAAGTGCTCGTGGCTCTTGGCGGAGTTATTTTAAAGCAATTTATTGCAATTTGATTGTTTTTTGAAACGATTCACTCAATTCAAATTGAACATAATGTCTCTGCTGCTGCACAGCGCTGCGTATGCGCAATATTTCAATTTATTAGGTTATCGCCGCATGAACGAACTTTTGGGGTTTTAATTTTTTTTCTTTTTTAAGTGAATAATAGCAACAGATTTATTTTTTAGTTTTAATTAAAGTATTTAAACAAGTTGTTGTTGCAATATTTTCATGATGATTTTCCCATTTTGAAACCGGTTCGAAGTGCTTTGAATTTTCTTTATTTTATTTTGATTTCTCTGAATTTAGGCCAGTTCTTTTTGGAGTGATGGCGCCTAAGTTTAGGTGGTAATAAAAAGTCTTTGGACATTTTGCCGTCCGTTCGCCAAAATCGTCGATTCGTACTGCAGCTCGGCCTACGCGCAACTGAACTAACGAAATGCGGCTAAAAGCTCAACGCGACGCAGTACGCTTCGGCTTCGGCTTTCCCTTGCAGTTTTCCCGAGCCCTTGGCGCGTTTGCGAAAGCTTTTCCCCACCCTCAGACAGGCACTGCTTGACTTTCTTAGCTCCATTCATGACCAAGGTTTCAATTTCACCCCGAAGCTCTGCCAGCTGCTTTTCACTTTCCGTGCTGTCCTGCCGCCCACCCAAAATGGAAGTTTAAAGCTTTTGAAGTTGCCTGAAGATAAAAATTCAAGGTCTCCTCCCTTACTGGCATTGTACAGTTTCTGTTCACTTGCGATTGCCATATATAAATGGCAACTTTTGAAAACTAACTGTTGACAAATTATTTACATTGATTCGATTAAATGCAAATTGCGTTTCGTGCTGCCCAACAATTTCTATCTATTATGAGCACGAAATAAAAATATAAAAACCTCAAGCACCGTTCCGCTGGGAATAAAACGATTTGCCAAACAGTTTGCAAATAGCCCAGCCTAAAGCCAAACGAACGGATCCTAGTTTACGTACGTGTCACTGCGTGCCTTGCATGGACTCAAATACGATCTCGAATAGGCAGAGAAACTATACCTCCCACTACTATATGCTGTACCCCGTACCGGGTACCCCGTACCATGTACGCAAAACTTATGCTATATAGAAGCATAAAGTAAAGTATTCAAACTCAGCTCATTTGATTAGTTGGGGAATGTTTATTCAATGAAGTTCCAGCAGTGCAATTACGGCCGATTTACTAAGTGGGCAATTCGTGACTTTTATCAACATATCTACTGAGCTGGAGCTCGAAGTGTAACCCAGGCTAAAGTAGTAACAAGCTAAAGGAAAATTATTTGAATTTAAGGTATAATTAAAATACTAATGATGATGTATCATATACATTTTTGTAAATAACCAAAAGTTGTTCATAAATGAAGTATGTGTACACCCATATAAAATTCATTTTATATTTCATTTCTTTTTTAGGTTTTAATAAACTGGGCTTTCAGTTATCAAGCGAGCGTCAAGCTCAATTCACATGAATTTTTAGGCGAACTTTATGAGCATACTATACATACGAATATTTTTCTTTCTGTCTTTTCCTTTTCATGGAAATAAATAAATAAACGATACATACTCGTTCGTATACTCGTGTATTTATTAAAAACCTTCAAGTCGAAGTGTATTTTCCTCGAATTTTAATTTTTAATTTTAATATTTCATTTTCAATGCTCAACAAACTCAATCAAATTTTTGTTCGTACCATAAATCATTATTAATGTTGTATTAACTTATCTAATTTTTGTATTTATTTTTGCTAAGCAAATAGCGTCTTTTCATGTACTTCCAATTTATATTTGGAATCCAACTTTTCTTTATTTATTTTTATTTATTTATTTTTAATTTACTTCCTTATCAAATTTATTGCTCCAAGCTAAAACAAATCAACAACAACAACAACAAACAAAATGTTTCCTTGTTGCTCTTGACTTTTTTGGGTGAGCATATAAAAACAAGTTGCCTATGCCACGTGCTGCACGCAAATTAGATTACACATTACGTATACGCCACGTGATCCGCAATTTCTTTGCGCCAATTGTAAACATCTATTGTTTTTTCAGCATATGCAAAAGGAAGAAACGTATGAAACATTTTCTTTACACCAATTTCCTAAGTTTAAATCTTGCCACGTGTTGCTCCATGCAAGTAGCTTATCGCCAATTAGAGAGAAAATTACCAGCGTGTCACTTGTTCCATGCTAGTTATTATCCTTGAGCTGAGTTCACTCTGTCATTTGCCTGACATTGGCAAAGAGAACTCTACTCAAGTTAAATCCTTGAGTTTAGCTATAAACTTGTAACGTGACTTGCAGTCAAGACAAATTGCAGCAGGTAATTCACATTAATGCCTTGAGTACAAGGCTTTGGGCAAGATATTGCATGGCAAAAAGAGAATTCTGAGAATTAACTAAATCTATATGTGTTTATGAGTATATATACATATATATTTTTTCATGCATTTATGTAGTCATTTTCAAGCTGCTGCAGGACAGGTTTGCCTTGTGACTTCCCATTATATTTTCACAAAGCCACGCAACTTTCAGGCAACACTTAGATTTATTTATTAAGGCAGGCAAACGCTTGAGTCGTGGGCTGAAGCAAAAACATGAGCTATGCATATCGAAGCTCAAGCAAAATATTCGAATGTCAAAAATTACTTGTCAAACTGATAATTAATTTATTACACATATTCACTTGACTGAACTTAAATTTATCTTTACATTACTAAGAAAATTGACGGCAATTTTAGGAAATCGGTGAGCTTAGTTGCTAGACTATTTTCCCTAGAAAACTAAACTAAGACCAGACATGCTGTAGTTTCAGTTAAATAGCTTTTAATCTATAATTAAATAATTAACACTATTAGTGAGGGCAGTTAAAACAGTTAAAATCCAAATAAAAAATCAAACTTAAACTAATTCTAGAATAAACTATTTAAGTTCTAATTAGACCTTAAACACTTCAGGCTCACATTGAACTGTTGCCCGTTCGCCGTTTACAGCGCTGGGTTCAACAGCCTTTGACCTGGCATATTAACTGAATAATTAAATCCATATTGCAATAATTTTTTGTGGGCTAAAATGATTCGAGTTGAGTTCAGGTGAGTTGAGTGGAGCGGGTTCTCAGGAGCGGGCAATTAAATTGTTACCGAACGTCGCTGCGTAGCTTAATATTATCTAAAACTGAATCGAACGAATCACCTGCACTTTGAGCATCACAATCTTGATTTCGACTCTATCGCGAGGCGAACAGCTGGCGTTCGCCTCCTCCAGGGGCGGGGCCTGAGCGTCCAACTGTGAGAACTGTTTGTTGTTGGGCTCTGTGGCCGCTGCACTGACAGCATTGCTGCCATTGATGAGGCTGGCATCGGGATGTATGAAGCTCATGGTGAGCTTTTATTTTGCATTGATCAATAATAAATCACTTAGAATATTCAACAAATATTCACAATGGTTGTGTAATTTTTCTTTTCGATTTTTTTTTCAATTGACTTTTTTACGGTTTGTTTTTTTGTTGTTGCACTTTATGTAATCACAGGCATTTTGGTGTTTTTTATATCGCACACGTTGAGCTGCAGCATCGCAGCTCTGCCAAGTGAATTTATTTCAATTATTAGAAATGAATTAGATTAGCAACAGTTGTAATCACAGCACAGACGAATCGCTGCGCTCGCACTGAGGTTGAAGTAAGGGCCGAACAGCGAACAATTCTTGGCTGCTTTTTTAATTTTGTTGGATTTGCCTCTTCATCTTCTTATTTTATTTTAATTTTTTTTTTTATTTTCGTTTGTCGAGTGGCAAAGTGTTTGTGTCTCGAGTTCCGCTAGTGCCGCTCAAAAGGAAGCAAGAGCAACGGCACTTGTCTCCTATGGTATTTATAGCAGGCCCCCAATAGCAGCAGAAGCAAGCAAGATCAACGCCAACAAGCATCACAAATCTTTCTGCATGCTGCACTCGGCAACCGCTTCCGTCTGGTGGCTCAAAGTCAAGTTCAAGTTTACTTAGCCACAAGCACAGAGCGGACGACAGCGTGACCGCGTGTAGAGAGAGGCGGCAGGGAGGCAGGAGGCGGGCGATAGCCGGGAGAGAGTGTATTGGCCAATTCATGACGCTCTGTTGTAGTTGATTTAGTTTCTGCCAAAACTACTAACACACTCAACCACACGCACACAAGCACACGCACACAATTTACGTCTACACAATGCTTGCCAAAAAGACAAAAAAAAAAAAAAAAGCAAGGGCGACTCGCCGACAAATGAATACCTTTTGCACACAAATGTATAACATGTGATATATATTAATATTTACTTAAGAGCTAACAAGATTTTATATAAACAAGCTGTTACATTTTATATAGTCAGAAGTTAGAGGAGAGAGACCCATATTCCAGAAATTTTTCATGGAAAGGGACTAAAAAAATATTCAGTTTTAGTCAGATATAGGCAATATTACGTATATGTTGTATATCTAAGGCCATACATGCTCGTTTAGTTTGATAGAATTGTTTAGTTTGATAGAATTGTAGTACCCAATGCATACACTGCTTATAAAAACGCTCATACGCCCTGTCAGCCAGCAATATGTTTAATTCCCCTCTTTCTCTCTTTCATTTCGTTTCAGTTCGTTTCGTTTGCTTAAGTGTTCGTTTGTTTTGTTATTTGTTGTTGTTGTTGTTGATTTTTCCTTTTCAATGTTGCTTTCGTTCAAGTGTCAGCTTGTATATTTGTTTAGTCTTGCTCGACAAGCATTTATTTATTTTAATTCTTTGTAATGTTTCATTTGTTTATTTATTTATTTATTTATTTTTTTTATTCTAATTTTCGTTTTTTGGCTTTAACAATTATCACACGCAGCAGCAGCTGTCATCGGTAATATACACACATATACATATTTATATTATTTATTTATCTCTATGTTTATGAGCCTAACACGCTCTCCGGCACATGTGTTACGCTTCTGTTTGCCAAAAGAGTTAGCTTCATTCTAAGCGTGATTTGCCACCTGTCTCAAATTGATGAAAGTTTCAGGATGTCATAGAGACACAGACAGTTGTCGTATTATTATTATTTATAATCATTCTAATTATTGTTGCTGCAAATTTATTTAATAATCAAAGAAACCAATTTTCCTTGATTTTTTTGTTAATTAGATAGATTAGCTTAATTTATATTTTGTATGATAAATTTATGAATTTCCCTATAAACTCTGCTCTGCTCTTGCTCTGATAATTAATCTCAGCTTAAGGTATGAAGTGAACTTTTAAATGTTTGTTGATTGTTGTGCTGTAAACTATTTATTTAAAGACAGACTGTCAATATAATATGCAATTCTATTTAATCGATTATCTAACGAGTTCAACTTTCAAAATGTGACAGCTGTTGCACTGAATTTCCCACAATGCATTGTGAGCTTTAATATTCCATTTGCTCATTAACATTGAATTCTGCATTAGCAAGATTAAATATATATGCATACATAATATTTATGTATGATTTTTTTTTTTTTTCATCTTTTTTGCGATTGCATAATTTGCATGTTAAGTGGAAAGGTAAACACAACAATAACCATGCACTATAAAAAATGTAAATATATCTAAGCCGTTTTCCCATTAATCCCAACGAATCAAATTATAATCGTGTGTAATTCATATATATAAAGTAGCTGAGCTTAATTCTATGCTGCTGCAATTAGTCACTAATTAAAACCTACTGAGCCAACTGCAATCAAATGCCAAAGCCGGTGGCATTTTGTACTAACTTGTTGAAGTACAGGTAAAAAGTTCATGCACGTGACGTAGGTGTATTGGGTAGAGCACCATCTATTAGTCATATATATATAGGTGATTATATAGGGTTCGATCGTGGATGCATTTGAGTATTTATGGGGGAAGCCTGTCACGTGCCTGCCCACTACTAAGTACTTAGTACTAAACGCGGCATTATTTGTTTAAGCTTAGCCTAATGCATCGATTTTCTGAGTAATTCCTTAAAATTTCTTGCTCTACTCCAGTTAGTGACCCCTAAAATAGGCGCCAAACCCGTTTGATATTTCACATTTCTTAATTATTTTTCACTCTGATCTCGTTAAAAACAAAAAAAAAAAACTTTTCTTTAATTCATTTTATGAATAATTCATTGGCTTTGCGCCTCATTGCGCCACGTCATGTGTAAATCGTGCAACGCTCGTGCCAATACAAATATATATACATAGATAGTTATATATATTTATTTGTATATTCCCTCGAACCCTGTGATTTCCCACACACAGAGAGCGCTCCAATAATTAACTCAAAGATTGCACAGCCAACGGTTCTAACTAGACACAGACAGATTTTGAGCTAGCTAAATAAATAATTATAATTGCAATAAATCACAACATTAATTACTTTTCAATAAACGTATTGCGGCAAACCGCGTAATATGAATATTTACGCTGTATTAAAGGCCGATTTTTACTTAATTAAGCAGGATTATAAACGCTTTGCTCTAAGCAAATAATGACAATTATCAGCGAAATTTAGGAGGCACCAAATTTTAATAGCCCTTTGATTTATAGAAATTTCTAATTATATTTACCAGCATTGCTTCAGGTTTATTTATAAAATATCATCACTAGCTTATTCTTATAGATTTTCCTAATGATTTTACGAAAGCGAGTAATAATATTCTAACATACATATATGTATGTAAATCAAGAGTTAGGCAACACATTTCAAATAACTAAGAAATGATATTTCCAATGAAATGGTTATCCTATTTGCATAATCTGTGAATTATCTTGAATTCTAAGTATTTATTCCAATTGTATTATTAGCCTTATATAATCAAGAACTTGATTGTAATCAAGCAATCAATAATTCTATCACAGTTTGTCCTAAAATCTATTCAGAACTTACCTATTTATTTTTTTGAAAATCACTGATATTCAGTCAGGATCTGTTGGCTATTCTTGGAATCATATTTCCTTGTATTCACCGAGACACTAAATGAGCACTTTATAAGGATTATTCGCTTGATTGCGCTTGTGTGAATAAAATCCTTTATGTATTTTGATTCACTTTATACGATCCTCGTCCGTTCGCAGCGAGCATAAAACGGATACTGATTGCAGTACCGTTTCGCTTGTTTTCTTCACACTTCATTCAAAGTGCCAAAACTCAAGCTCTAGTAGTTTCTACACACACACACACACACACACACACACACGTGCGCAAAATGTCGCCAACTGGCAACAGAAGAAATATATGATAACTGTATTTATATATTAAGTAAATATTTATGTTAATAAACAACGAATCAAAAGAATTGTGAATCGCGAGCTGCAAAAACAGAGCGCTTATTTGCTTTTAGAATTTAGCGCTTGTTGCGAAACGAAAACCGTTTTTGAAACTGAACTCAACGCGCGAACTGAGGTCGCGCGCCAAACGAGCGAGAAAAATGTGTGATAAGCGAAAAGAGTGCGGCGACACAGATCTAGACACAATCGGCAATCAACGATCATCGACGTCGGCTTCCGATTAGCGATGGCCGAACGGGTAACCGATGACGCAGTTACCGATAACAAACAACGACTCACGACGACATGTTAGAACGAGCTGCAGAAGAGGAAGAGCTGTCTGTAGTGCCTCAACGGGTAACGAACGTGGAAATTTTTACTTAACGCACGCCCTGCATGTTCTATTCATTTGCACATTTCAATTTTGCTTAGTTACAATTAGTTTAACTAATCCATTTTACTGATTACCCTTTAGCAACCGGTTCGTGTCACTTCGCGTATCTTCCTCTTATTCATTTATTGGACTCATTTCATTTTTGTTCTCAGTGCTGCCTTTGCTAATTGTTTTACAAAATTTTACATATTGTCTATATTTTCAGGAAAACCATGCAACTATATGCGACTATATTATAAAGTTAGGTCTTTAGCTCTTAAAAAAAAAAAGGAAAAAAAAAAAAAAAAAAAAAACTTTATACCCTGATTTCCCTAATTTCCTGTAGAGTATACAAATAATCATATGATGCATTTAATTAACATTTAATAACTAATTACAAATTAAGTTTAAACTCGTTTTTGGCCAAAAAATATAACAAATTGTGTCACGTTCATTTGGCACGAGCACCTGGCGTGCTGTATTTAGCACGTATTTCTGTTTTCAAGTCGAGTCTAATCAGATCCTTTAAAAATATATCGCTAACAGGTATCTTATTCTGCTTATCTTATTCTTTATGTGTGGATCATAAAACCTTTATGTCTCCATTAATTAATACCTTTTTTCTGATTTGTCTATTGCTTCCAGTGCAGACAAATTAATAGAAAATAGATTGATTATAATGTTTATGATTTAATTAGAGAGCGAATGAAAATATATGCGAATATGATGGAAAAATTGAGCTGTTTTAATTTATTTCATCTTATCTTATTTTTGTTAAATAGTGAGCTAATCTAATTAAAGCCCTGCTAGGTAAATATACATATATATAAAAAAAAAAATAAATGGGCAATACTACGGGATTTCGTTCTTTTCTTAACAACCTACATGTTTTTGCTAATTGGTTAAACGTTTTGCTTAGTAATTTCTCTGTTATGTAAGAGATTTCAATCAAATTTATAGTATAAGATCGACATATTTGACTGGATATTTGTCATTTTAGAACAATATGCCAACTGATTATTATAATCGATGTCTGTGGCTGTTACATAAATTTAACAAAACCTTTAAATTTCGCTCTATTTTCTCGTTATTAATTTCAAGGTATAAGAAACAGGACATCAAATCTTTTGTCTGCTTTGCCTAAATTTTGTAGAGCTGTAAGAATGAGCTATAGCTCTTGATAGGCTTTTAGATGAGTTCGATTATTTTTGAGATGTGTTTTTATAACTTAACAAATACCCACAGCGCTGTCAAACTTGTGCTAATTAATTGTGACGATTTCATTTTGCCAACAACAGACGTTAAGCGAAAACAAAGGCGACAAATGGAAATTCTGAAAATATTGGGGAGTTGGGAGGTAAGAGAAGATTTGATATCGTGCGTTTAACCTTGTTATTGAACTCGCTGTTTTTTGCTTATATGAGATTTGCTTACGCTGTTTTTTTCGCAGCTTCCAACTAAGTGAGCCCTATTAAATGCGACAACATCATCATCAACAACAACAACAACAGCAGTAGCAGCACGACAGGTGACAATATTTTACCAAAGAAAAAAAAAAGAAATAAATAAAAAACATTTTTTATGTCGCTAATTTCATTAATTTGATTGTGTTTATTTAACTTCGCAATTCGCATGTGCATTTCACATATCATTTTTTTGCATTTGTGTCAGTCAAAATGGATAACGTACACATCGATATATTGATCGATTCGAGGAATTATAATTATGATTATAATATGTGTACATTCATATGTATGTCCGTATATGTATTTGCATATAAATTATATTTAGTCAACGCAATTGTTATCACATTTAACAAAACTTACTGAAAGTCTGACAGAAAATAAAATATCGTGCTCGACTAGAAGATACCCTAAATACATTTCTGATTGCTGTTTCGAATATTTTAGGAGTATACTCTAAATTTGTAATTTATCAATGGACTTAGGTTATAAAAACTCATCAGAGATTTATTTATTTATTTTCATATCACTAAGGAATTGATTAGCAATTGAATTAATAGATCTTTTAAGTCCCATCTGCGCTTCAGATTAAATATGAATATGTACATAATTAGACATTGTTAGTTTATTGTGTGGAAACCATTTTATTTGCCTTAGTTTTCTTTTAATGCCAACTCGATAGAAATTTCGTGGCTTCATCTATTTTGTCACTCGCTACGTTGAGATCTTTACTAATCTTGTATAACCTCAAAATGGTCGCAGCCTCGAGAACTGCCTCCCTTGGCACCCGGCGCCGGTAAAGGCAATTCCAAAATGTACATACTTTTTGCTAGCTTCTCCAACTTCTTGTTAATAGCTGAAAACGAAACTTTGTAGTTAATTAACTATATGGCAATGAAAATATAGGCTTACAGATATAGTTGGGATTCCTTAAGAAGGTGTTTTTCTTTGGTATCCTGTTGCGTAACCTGCGAGGCTTACGCTTTGTGCTTTCAGTTGTTTTATTAAGATCAGTTATTTCATTGAGAACAGTTGTTTCATTGATATCAGTTGTGTTAGTGAGCTGAGTTGCTTCAGTCACAACAGTCGCTTTAGTGGGATCAGTTAATTCATTGATATCAGATTCTCTGAGGTGCTTGGTAACTCCCCCTACATTATTTATAGCGTTAATTATTGGCGGAATGTCGTCTACGCTCAATGGTCGGGGAGGGGGCTTGCAACGAATATGGCCTTGCAACGTTACCACAAAGAGGCTGATAAAATAAACAATATATAATCGACCTCTAGCCATATTCAACTTTTAACGTCAAATGAGGCTTAGCTGCTTATCTTACAACGCATCATTTCTATTAGATTCGCTTTATATTAGAATATATATGTATGTTATACACAAAGACTTTAGCTAGTTAAGTCTTCAAATGTACCAAAACTAATTAATTTGATTATACTTGCATTTGTAGGAAAGCACATCAAATTTAAATTTAAATGTCATAGCAGTAAGCTTCCTGACATGCAGTAAAAGTTATCGACTTGCCGCCACGAACAAATCATAAATGCACTACTGTTGCACTATAAGTTACGGTCACACTTTAATTATTCGCGTCTAACTTATCTACAAATGTATCAAATTTATTCATTTTATTCTACTTAATTAAAAGTATAGAAATGCCGCCCACTATAAACAATTCGGCTGTCAATAGCGCCACCGAAAAGCGACCACCACGGCAAACAGAACGCAAGTAAGTACTCTAATAATATTTTATTTTTGCCAACGCGCATATCTAACCTGTTTATCTGGCTTTACTACGCTTAGATCCGAAATAATTTGCCGCGTTAAATATGGCAATAATCTACCGGATATACCCTTCGATCTGAAATTCCTGCAATATCCCTTCGATAGCAATCGTTTTGTGCAGTATAATCCAACATCGTTGGAACGTAATTTCAAATACGATGTACTGACTGAACACGACCTGGGTGTGACGGTAGATCTTATCAATCGGGAGCTGTACCAGGCCGATCCCATGTCACAATTGGATCCGGCAGATGAAAAACTACTAGAGGAGGAGACATTGACGCCGACAGATTCAGTACGGTCACGACAGCACTCACGCACTGTGTCCTGGTTGCGTAAATCCGAGTATATTTCGACTGAGCAAACGCGCTTTCAGCCACAAAATCTGGAGAATATTGAAGCCAAGGTGGGCTACAATGTGAAAAAATCTCTGCGTGAAGAGACCCTTTATTTGGATCGGGATGCACAAATCAAGGCCATTGAGAAGACGTTCAGTGATACTAAGAACGAAATTACCAAGCACTACTCCAAGCCGAATGTGGTGCCGGTTGAGGTGTTACCCATATTCCCCGACTTTATCAATTGGAAGTATCCATGTGCTCAAGTCATTTTCGACAGCGATCCAGCGCCACAGGGCAAAAATGTGCCCGCCCAGTTGGAGGAGATGTCGCAGGCCATGATTCGCGGTGTGATGGACGAGAGCGGAGAACAGTTTGTTGCCTACTTTCTGCCCACAGAGACAACGTTGGAGAAGCGTCGCGCAGATTTTGTGGCCGGGCAACTCTACAAGGATGATGAGGAGTATGAATATAAAATTGCTCGAGAATACAATTGGAATGTCAAAACGAAGGCATCCAAGGGCTATGAAGAAAACTACTTCTTTGTCATGCGGCAGGATGGCATCTACTACAACGAGTTGGAGACACGTGTACGTCTCAACAAGCGTCGCGTCAAGGTTGGCCAGCAACCGAACAATACGAAATTGGTGAGTATTTTTAGCAAATCTATGAATTCTTTAGTAATCCCTTTTTGGTGTGTCTGTTGGGCATGATAGGTGGTTAAGCATCGACCGCTGGATGCCATGGAGCATCGTATGCAACGCTATCGTGAGCGCCAGCTGGAGGTTCCTGGTGAAGAGGAGGAGGAGGAGGAAGACGATGAAATGGAAGCAGAAGAACAATCTGCAACCCAGCCTGCAGCTGAGCAGGAAAAGGCAGCAGCAGAAACTGATGCCAAATCAAAGACTCCTCCTGACGAAGTGGCAGCTGCTGGCAACCGTACACCTGTGCCGGATGCACAAGAGCAACGAGAACGGCAATCGCGCTCCAGAACTCGCTCCGGCGGCAGTCGCTCTCGCACGCGTAGCCGCAGCGCTGGTAGCGGCAGTGGCAGTGGCAGCGCAGCCAGCGGTTCGCGCAGTCGCAGTCGCTCGAGCTCAGTGAGCGGTTCTGGATCACGTGCCAGTAGTCGTTCCAAATCAGGATCACGATCACCAAGCGGCTCACGTTCACGCTCCCAAACGCCAGCCGGCTCCCATAAGTCCGGCAGTCGCAGTCGCAGTCGTAGTCACAGTCGATCCAAATCAAAGTCGAAATCCAAATCAAAGTCGCGCAGTCGTAGTCGCAGTCGCAGTGCATCAGGATCACGTTCTGGATCAGGCTCCCGCTCGCCAAGTCGTTCGCGCAGCGGCTCGCCAAGTGGCTCGGGCTCCAGCTCTGGCAGCGGCTCCGAGGAGGAATAAAACTGTACAGAATCTTTTTCTGCATGTAATTTACGAAGAATACACAAAAATAAACAAACAAATGAAATCGGAACACAATTACGTGGCGTCCATAAGGAAGTTACGGAACAGTTCACCGTCCGAGCTGGGCTGCTCTGTTTGCTGCGGCGAGTAGAGCCGCAAATTCTGCAGCTGCTGCAGCGGGGAGCCGCTGCCATCAAACTGCACGCCACTCTCCATAACAACCGGCTGTGGTTGCTGTGGCGGCTCCACACTGCAAATTCCCAGCTTCTGGCAGCTCTCCACGACAATGTCATCAATCGTTTGCGAGAGCAACGCCTCCTGATCGATGGTGCCATTCATATGAATGGCCGCATTGCTTGCTGTGTGCTCGGCCTGCACACTGTCCGCACTCACATTGGAGTCCAGCAGCGCCTTGATCAGCTGCTCCGGAGTCTGCGGCTCACATTTGTGTGTTCGCAGCGAGACCTTATAGCGAAACGTCTTCTTGCACAGCTCGCACTTGTAGGGCATGACTCCCGTGTGGATGCGTGTGTGCACCAGGAAGGAGACACGTTGCCGAAAGCATTTACCTGTGTGAAATAGTTTAGCATGAGCTGGTGCATTGTTAACAGAGTAAGTAGTCCAAACCAGCTCAGGTCGATCTGCTTAAGATCGAATGAGCACATTGAATAAGCGCTTTACCCATAGAAATGGGTATATACTAGATGCTTGTCTAAGATCTCAGTACATATATATGTATATGAATTGTATATAGAAAGTATATACAGTGATTCGTAAATCTTGGCTTAACGTACCGCAGACCTCGCACTTGAAGGGCTTCTCTCCGCTGTGGATGCGCTGATGGTTGTGCAGCGTTGACAGCTCCTTGAAGGCGCGCCCACAGATGCCGCAGGCGTGCGGCTTCACCTCGCTGTGGTAGAGTAAATGCTTGTGATAGGATTGCTGGAAGGTGAAGGTTCTGGCGCAGTACTGGCAGGTGTAGGGCATCTCACCCGTGTGCAGACGCTTGTGCTTCTTCAGGAAATACTTGGTGGTGAACATTTTGGTGCACACGTCGCACTCCCAGTTCTTGGGCGTGCTGCCATACTCCGAACCGGGCGCTGTCTCCCCTGCAGAGGGTAGCTCCTGCTTGAGCATGTAGATGGCGCCACTCAGAGCATACGGCTGGGTGTTGGTGTTCGCGTTAGAGGTGCTGCAGCCATTGGTGGATGACGCCTCCTTGTGCCGAATGCGATCGCAAATGCTGATTTTGGGCGTGGCACTAATGATGTGGCCATTGCTACTGCTCGCATTGTTGTTCTGATTGCTGTTGCTGTTGTTGTTGATGTTATTGCTGTTGTTGTTGGTCGGACTGTTGCTGGTGGCAGACGCGATGGCGCCGACCGTGTGCAACACCTTGAGATGCACACGCAATGAACCCTTCATTCGGAAGGTTTTGGAGCACAGATGACACTTGTAGGGCTCCTGCTGCTGACCCAGCGTCGGCTCTGTTATCTCCGCATTCTCATGCACCAACCGGAAGTGAATGTCTCGCAGCTCCTCGTTGCGGAAATTAAACTCGCAAATGTCACATCTGGAAGGAGGCGTAGAGGGCTGCGGGGGCGGCAGCTCGATGGGCTTGGCACGCGACTTTTTGCCACGTCGCTTAGGAACGGCAGCAGGAGGCGGACTAGCTGCAGCAGGGCAATTAATGGGAGGAAGCACAGCTGAGGCTGCCTCTGCTATCACTGGAGAGGACTGAACGGTTGGAGGCACTACAACTGAAACTGGAGCTGGAGCTGGATCTGCCTCCGGCTCGCTCATCAGGCTCGTGTGACTAAATAGATGTATGGTCAGTTTGTCCAGACCCAGAAAGAGCTCCTTGCAGTTGGGAAAGGGACAGGCCAGAGGGCCATTGGCCGCCTTGATTAGGCGCTGCTGCAGCGCGTCGATGCTACTGAAACTCGGCACCGCGCACAGTGGACACAACACGGACATGGAGCACATGCCTGAAACACTTTTCACACAATTGGAAACTAGGGATCTCTTTTCAATATGCAAACAAATCCTCGGCCATTGCGCTGACCGACAAAAACTTGAAAAGATTATTTTCTGCTTTTGCCTATTGAGATATTTTCTAAAAATACTTGCAACGAACAAATATTGAAAGAAAAATTTTGTGCCGATGGCGACGACGACGACGTTCGTCTGGGCGATATCGAAAATAATGAAAATTATTGCGCTCCCAGGCCGGCGAGAATTGAAAAGTTTTCGAAAACTGCGAGCCGAACAGCTCCGAAAGGTGGACCGCAGACAGCTGTCCGCTGCTTCCTCTTCGAGCTGTTTTTTGGTAACAGCGAACGACTCGTCAGCCAGTGGGCGTATTTAGTAGTACAGAGCTCTTGGCTCTTTGTTTTGATCTTGTCATTTAAATGAATCGCATTGGGGCAGCTGCTGGGCATAGTCTACAGATTGTACATATATATATACTATATGCATATTTCAAAAGAAAATTTAACAATTTAAATGGGTCATAGCCAAGTGCGTTAAATTATTAAAGGGTAGACTTGAAAATGGGATAAATATTAATTATTATATAATATACCATATTAATGATTTGTAACAGCTACAGAGCTTCTATAATTTTCATAAAGATCAATTAAAAATATATATATTTCGACATATTTGTGGATAATATTCTCTGCCCATTTTTGAGTCGGAATCTTTTCTATACTATTATAATTTTCCACTTAGTATTTTTAAAGTGCAGGAAAACGACATACATATATGTTTGCTTGCTTGTTGAACATTTAATGTATTCAATTATCTTCGCTAATGCTGCCAATGAAATATTCTTTGAACCGAGCATCCTAGTTTATAAGGTTTATAGTTGAGCTAAGAGTATTCTCATAGCCAGCTTGTGCGCAAAAGCTCTCAGTCAAGGGTATTTGGTAGCTGTGTGAAATCAAACTCTATTTATAAACAAGTATACCTATATACTATATACATATATCTGTATATGTATAGTAATGCATATTTGTGCTGCTCTCTTGATTCTTGTTGATAGTTGGTCAGTGCTTTGTTGTGCTCTATTTTTGTATCTCTTCGTGTTTTCTCATTCGTTGTGCCGTTTATTCGTGTTTCTCTTTGGCTGTCCGATTTGTAAACAGTTCATTGGCCAAAGCACGTGCGGAGAGTGGGGAACTAGTAATAGTAAACCTAGAAGAAAATTGAGAAATTCGTGGAGCATCACTTTTTCTTTTTAGGCGGAAAGTCCAGGGAGACGACACTTAGCTTCGCCGAGCTGGGCTCCTCCTTGCCCAGGCTCGCCTCGGAGGTGGAGGAACGTGCGCTATAGCCTGTGGGAAAAGTACAGTAGTCTCTCTAAGGTCTCATGTTCAATGTGCTACCCACCTTTGACGGAGTAGCAATCCACCGAGGAGTATGACGATGTCCTGGAGAACACACAACTGCGCACGGGCTTCAAGTGCTGTGGGAGCTTGATTCCTTTGTCCAGCATATAGGCTATGATGTTGGCCCCATCCGGATCGGTATTGGTCATGTCACACAATAGATTTAATACCTTTCTGTTCCGAGTCTCCAGCTCCTGCAGATTGAGGTCGCGCTCGAATAGCGACAGAAATTCGTCGCTTATGGCCTGCTGTTTGATTTCCTTGAGCAGCGATTGTATCTCGCGATTGGCCCGTTCAATTTTCGCCTTTTGCTCGTGCAGCTCTCTCTTTAGCTTGCGCAACGCTTCCGCATCGTCTAGGCACTTTTGTTTTTCCGTTTCGATTTCATCCATTAGCTTCTCGATTTCCTGTTGCTGTCGCTCAATTTTACTGTCGTATGCCTCGGCCTTGCAGCGTAGCACTTTCAGTTGCTCCAGCTGATTGCAATAGGTCTCCTGCACCTTCCTCAGCTCCTCCTCAGCGCGCTGTTCGTCTGCAAGGAAGGCAAATTAAATAAGCAACAATTTACTTCACATAGAGTTGCTATCGAATAGGATCTATCCCATTCCATTTTTAGGTGGAATGGAAAGACAAACCTTTTGAGTTATCATCGAAGGTTTTTAGATTCTTGCGGTAGTTGTCATTGGACTTATCGAATTGGCGTAGCGTGTTCTCCAGAGCAATCACCTCCTTCTCCGCCTTGAGCACCTTTTTGTTCAGTTCGTCTCCCTCGTCGGCGAGCAGCTGTCGCTCCTGGGCATTTTCGACCTTCAGCTGGGTGGCCGTGATTATGGTGCCATCCTCGTTGACGCCCAGCAGCGCCGATGTCAGCTCGAATCGGGCACGCAGCACGTTGATATGTTTCTTGCGCTCTCCCAGATCGGCGCGAAGCGTGCTCAGCTCCTCGTTGAGATGCTTTCGCTTCAGTAGCAAAATATCCCGCTGACTCTGCAGCTCCACAAAGCGATCCTTGATGATGCGCTGGAAGGCCAGCCGATGCTGATTCAGGCTGTAGGTGCCCTTCTCGCAGTTATCGATCACATTCTGGAGGTCGCAGCAGCGCATCTTGAGCACACTCAGCTCCACCACGAACTCGGAGTTTTCGTAGCGATTCATGCGCAGGCGCTTGATGGTGCCTTCGCAGTAGACCTGCGCCTCTTTGATCTTGAACTTGACCAGCTCCAGATCCTTGGCATCGTTGTTATAGACCCCGACCAGGGCATTCATGCTATAGTTGAGCTTCTTGTTTTGCGCCTCCGTGGAGGCCAGGCGACGCTGCAGCTTGGCCAGATACTGCTCCAGCTCAGAGAGAATCTTCTCGTTGCGTGCCTCCGTCTCCGGGTCTGAGTTTTTGCCTCGCAGCTCGGCCAGCTTGCGCTCGCACTGCAAGTACTTGAAGGACATGTCGTAGTGTATTTCCGTCTGGCGCTTTATCTCCACCTCCACCTGCCGCTGGTTACGTGTGACGGCAAGCAGCGTGGACTGCAGGGCTCCATTCTGCACCATGATCGTCGTCTCCTCATCCTTCAGCTCGCTTATTTGGCGCTGGGTGCGGTAGAGCAGCTCGTTGCAACGCTGCTGCTCTTTGTTGAGCAACTTGAACGCCTCCTCTTCGCCCTCCATCATCTCGTCCAGGATTTGGAGTCGCTGATTGGCATTGGTGTGCTTGTCCTCGATCGCCTTCAGGCGATCCTCGATCTTCTTCAGCGTCGTGGCGAAGTTCTCAATCTCCGCAATCTTCTCATCGCGTTGCCTGATCAGCTTGCGATTTTCCAGACGCTGGGCATGCACCTGATTGGACAGATTCTCCAGCTCGTGGCGCAGCGCTAGGATCTCGCGCTCCTTCAGAGTCGAGGTGTCGACCAGGCGCTGTATCTCATTCTTGGCATCGGATGTCTCCGCATTCAGTATCTCGATGCTTTGCTCGACCAGCCGATTATTCTCCAGGACATCGTTCAGCTGCTCGTTGGCCCTGAAATATGCATTGGCCATGACCTCAGCCTGTTCCGTCAGCCTGATGCACTCCTCCTCGCCGTTCTGTATATCCTGCTCGCGCTGTGTCATCTGATTGACTGCCTGCTTCCATGTTTCCACCATCTGGCGTCTCTCGAGGTGCGCCTCCCTATACAAGCTGGCCGTGCGCTCCAGATTCTTCTCCAGCGTGCTCTGCTCATCGTAGAGCATGACGACGGCGCTGCGACGCTTCTCGATCTCCGCCTGCAGTAGCTGGCGGCGTGTGTTCAACTCCTTTGCCCGCTGCTGATCGTCCTGGTAGTACTTGTCGATCAGCTGGTAGCCCTTGTTGCCATCCTCCATGGCCTCGGCCCACTCGACCAGGCTCGACTTGGCCGCCTTGATGCGCTTTGTCAGAGCATCGATCTCGCGCTTGCTTTTATTAATTTTACCTGTAATTCCATTTAGAATATATGTTACCTATTATCCGTAGATCTCTTCCACTTACGCAGTGTATGCTCCGCGTATTCCGTGTACTCTGACAGCTCCTTTTGATTCTTGCGCAAGTCCTCCTTGAGCTTGTTGCGCTCCAGGATCACCAGCTGCGTGCGATGCGCCTCCTTCAGCACATCGTTCTTCACCGAATTGAAGAAGTTCTGGCATTGGATTCAGATGAGGATTAATCGTTAACCAGACTCAGATCACGCCCCTACAACACTTACAACATTCTGCTGCAGCGTAGCCTCAATATTTTTCTTGTGCCGATCGATTGTCTTTTCGCGCTCCTCCAGGTTTGCGATGCGCTGCTGCAGATTGAACTTCTCTGCCCGCATGCTCACCATCTCCTGGAGGATGGCCAGATTCTCGGCATTCGCCATGGGTATGTCCGCCTCGACGGTCCATCCCATGGAGCGCATGGCCTCCAGCTTGAACTCGTCGAGCGAGGTGCTCTTCATGTCATCCGTTTTGTTGGCGGTGTCGCCCATTTTGGAAATATGTGAGTATACAGAGCCGGATATGCTATATATTGTGCTATATCCAGCTGAGAGTTGACTAAATTGAATTTCATATTCGAAAAGCAAAACTAACTGTTTCACTATGCCAACCGGATTGTTTCGTTTCGTTTTTCCTGCTCCCCTGCGTTGTTCCCAGCAACGCCTATTGTTTATAACGGAACAGGTGTCCTAGGCTGGTAAACAAGGGCTCGTATAGGGTATTATAGGGCAGTATGGCTCTAAGTGTAATTTATATTTGGATTTAACGGGCATTAAACAGTCGGTTACATTGGACGACTGGAATCTGTCTTCCATGACAAGGGAGTTACTCTATGCAAAGAAAGACTGACGTGGTTTAAGGGTTATTGGAGCCAATTTCATTTGGTTTAACTTATATTATAAGAATTGAAAGACGCCTGCATTAAATGTTCAAATTTATTTATGGATCATATGGATATTTTTATATATTGTAATTCTCGGCGAACTTGCAGAGGCCATGATAGTCGATGTTGACGCCTGTCTGGCAGCCACTGCCCGCCGGACCCGTCACGTACACAGGACTGCCGACAGTATTCTTGACTGCATAGTTGCAGGCGACGAGGAAGTGGTTCCGGTTGTTCTTCACGAAACGGGAAGCGGCACAGCCCACGGCAAGATTGCGCTCCTGAGCCATCACAGCAAAGCGGCTCATCGATCTGGAGAAGGACAGACAAAAAAGAAAAAAGAGTTTACCAATGGATGTTGCTTGATTAGTTCTTGCGATCCACCTACTTTCCAGACCAGGTGTGGGGAAAACTATTGATGATTCCCATATTGGCATTCTTGTACTCTAACCACCAGTTGGTAATGGCCTGCCTCAGCAGATACTGATCCGTCCGGTCCGTTAGAGCCGGATCATAAGCAAAGTACGCGATATTCTGGCCACTATTGGGGAACCGTGCCGTACCATGGCAGGTATCCCTCTTTCGAATGCACTGTTTCACATTCAGCTCGGCGCGGCTGGCCAGGTCAGCGTTCCAGCGCACGAAAGCCATGCGACGTGCCGACTGATAGCCAGGCAACTGACCCAGAGCCAGACGATTGCGACGGGCATTGTGGGCGGCCACTATGAAATCGCGGAGCTCCAAGTTCATATTGATCAGATATGGAGCAGGACTAGTTGGACAGGTGCTAGCCCAAGTCTGGAAAGAACAAAGTTAGTTAGATCATCCAGAGCCAAGCAAAGAATTAGCTGCTGCACGTACTCCGCTGACGCAAGGAGAGTTCTCGTTGGCTGCACGGACCACGGTCAACGTAAGGCAAAGTACAACAAATCGCAACATTTTGTTAAGAACTAACTTATCCGAGCTTGCGATCTCTAGCTTATATAGCCCAAGATTTCTTAGGCATCTGCATAGAACAATCAATTGAACTTTGTTAACTCAAGTGTAATTATTTAACAAGTGCTTACAGCTGAGCTTATATATATTCCCGAAATTTCCACACATCTGTAATATATTTAATCGGCCTTTGTATTATAAGTTTGTTATCATCTATTATAACACCCGTTTATAAGGTGGGATAGGAAAGTCGGGCTACATTATCTTTGACTATAAGCAGAATATGCCATGATCAAATATGTCTATATAAAAAGGACTAAGGCCAATCAAATCATATAAAAAATGGTTAATTTTTTATATGATTTGTTAAATTGAATTGACGGACTTTTGGTAATCTCGTTTTATATAAAAATTGTGCTGAACATACTTCGATTTCCATTCTTAAATAAACAATAAATAACGATTTCACATTCCATATTTATTGCAAATAATAAAAGAAAGCGAATCCCAAGACATTACATCATCTGCTGCAAGCCACAGGGTATCATTCAGTCTATCAGCAGCCAACTGTTGCCCACCCAGCTCTTACATGCGGTGTCAAAGAATTTACTGTTGCTAGCCCATCCTCCAGTTGTTTAAACAATTAGGCAAGTAACTTATACAATATAAGAAGAAAAACAAAATAAAATAAACATTTTAATTTGCATTTGCTTTTTTTTTTTTATTTAATTTTGTTTTATTTGCTTGCTTTTGTTGATTTCAATGTTAAAGAGCAATTCTTGTTGTTGTAACTATTGTGTAATGTTTATATGATAAATTTAATGCTAGCTTTCATTTTTTATAACTTCATGCGGTAATATTTAAGTATTATAATTTTAAATCATCATTAATATTATTTTCAATGTAATCAGTACTGCAAAAATTGATAGATCGCTTCATATGCTCAATTATACATAGATATATTTATATATGTATATATATGTATATCGGTTTAGCAACTCGATTTATTAGTTTCCATTCAACAAAACTCATGAATCGTATATGTATATGCAGCTACATTTGTATATATTTATATATATATCTGTAATTATATATATAATGTGTGTATAGATTACGTTAATGCAATATGAACTAAACGCTACATCTTGCCAAACGAAATGGTTGAACTACTCGTGTTTACCCTTTCTTATTTCTTGCCTTGTGGGCTATGCTATGCAAGTCGACGCAACTTGCAGATTATATTTTTTTTAGATACATGAATGTGTTTGCTCTTCGTTTTCAATATTATATTTATAAATGTATAATTCATAAATTTTAATTTCAAGGGTGGGCGTTCTTTTTATTTATAAGTTAATTTTGCTTTGAATTCCTCTCATTATATATATATATATATATAATGTGAATATCTATTTATATATGTATGTATGTACGTTTAAGGTTTGGGGGAAGAAAAACTAAATTACCGCATTATCAGATGTCCTCAGTGATATATATATATATAAATTTATATGTATGTATGTATAGCATTAATAAGCGTTACCATTTGAATTCGCTCCCGCAACATAACGAAAAACTTAATAACAAAATTTGGATTTAATTATTTCAATAATTATTCTCTAAAGCGAAGATCCAAACTTATAGCTAAATAAATCATAATATTATTTAGTGGAAAATGAAGGAAAATCAAATTCCCATTTCTCTTTTGCTCTTTTTGTGAAAAAACAGTTAATTTTGGTTTCTTGCAATTTATGCGCTTTACTAATTAATTTATTTAATAGCATTTTAATTGTTGGCCTTTGCAATATGTGTTACTGTATATATCAATGTGTTTGTGTTTGTGTTTGTGAGGGGGTACGCGAGGAGTTTCACGTGTGTGTGGGCAGAGGGGACCACGAGTGTGTGTGTCTGTGCGTGTGTGTGTGTGTGGTTTCTAACAACAGGCTGCAGTGCACGCAAAAGTGAGCCAGTGTCTCCTTTTGATAAGCAAATTTGAGAGTATTACAAAATATATATATATATATATACATACATAAATTTATATATATATATATGTATATAAACATATGATATATCGAAATTTAGCCAATTATGTTGGGTGGGAGGCGGGTACGCATGTGTAGAAGAAGGGAAAGAGAGAAATAGCAAAATTGCGTGAACAATTGAATTGATTGTTGGTGTTTGCTTCAGTTGCTGTTGCTGCTATCCGGTTGCTGCTGCAGTGTTTCACAGTTACTATAATCATCTAAAGATAAATAGAACTATATATACGTTGCATGTGTATGTGTGTGTAGAACGTGTGTGTGTGTGTGTGTGTGTGTGTGTGTAGAACGTTTCTTGCTTTAGTTTCTTCCTTTAGTTAATATTAGCTCTTCATGTTTCTAATTTGTTGTTCTTTTTAAGACAGATGGAAGGACATGCTGCCCTCGTTGGCAGCCACTTTCAGCTTCTGCCGCATCACATCACGACTCGAGTAGTCGGGCAACTTGAGATAGTTGACACAGGTCATCACAGATGGTAGATAATCATTGGGATTTTGGTTCCCGTCCAAAGTCTTGCGCACAATGGTCAGCGGCGGAGTCAGCGACTTAAAGCCACCAGTTGGCAGACGTGGCGATCCGGTGACGAATTGAAGGAACGCACGCTGCTCATCACGATTGTACGAGACGAGAATCTCGTACAGAAATTGTATGGCCTGAGATTCCTGATGGAAGCCATGGTCGGTGCGGCAGCTGTCCTGCAGCATTTTGAGATCCCAGCTCTGATGCTGTTCGCTGCCAGACCCGCAAAACACGCACTCCAGCTCCTCCGGATAAAACATGCGCAGTCGTTGTATGGGAAATATGGAATCAAAGCCTGCAAATAAACCACAATTCGAATATAAGCAAACGGCTGAGTGGATGACTCAAATGGAATACGTACCCTCGCGCAGCGCCTCGAACTGTTTCTGTACGCCTTCGACAAGGAACCAGTAGGTGACCAGTGAGATGTATTGATGCAAGTTGTGCACGGTTACGGGCGTGTCGCGTCCGCCACGGCAGAGTTCAATGTTGGCATGTCCGGGTAATACGAAATCTAGTCCCAAATCCGCAATGGGACAGCCATCCAAATCCAATTGCTCCATCTGCCCAAAGTGAGTTGTTAATAAATTGCTTAATAATTGATTGAGTTCCATTAAAGTTTACCTTCTCCTTCTTCTCCATAGCATCTAGATTGGGATCCATTTGGATATCCTCGCGCTGTCGCACCACATCCTGCAGACGCACCAATGTGCTTTGCACTTCGGGTGCGACACGCTTCAAATCGGCCAGTCCAATTGATAGCTCCTCGTTGATCAACCAGCGATAGAAGGGCAGCGAGAATGGCAAATCGAGCTACAAGTGGTAAGCGAAGCAAATCGGTTATAAAATTGTATATGATGGAGAATCAGAAAGATGGCTGGAGTGCTCCAACATTATATCACGAAACACTTACCATGCGACTGTCCATTACGGCCTTGGCCATAAACTTGCCCAGGAATTTAAACTTGGATTTGGCCTTGGTCATCTGTGGCAGCTTGGAGGATTTGCCCAGAGGCATAGGAAACAGGCCGTGTGCGGCGTGGACGTAGCTAACAGTAGATCCCGTTTGAATGGTTGCTGTTGTAGCAGTGACTGTTCCGGCTGCTGTGGTTGTCGTTATAGTCTGTTCTTCCAGCACTTGGGGGGAATTGTTGGCGCCACCTTCAGCGGCTGCCATATCACTAAACTGCTGTGCAATAATCATATTTAAAGCGTTGTCATTCGAGCTGGAGGAGCTGTGCTCCGCCAGCGCCTGGGCCTGGGCTTGAGCCTGAGCCTGTGCCTGTGCCTGCTGGTTGCGCAGCGCATTGCTGCGACTGTTGCTGCGGGTCAGATGTGTGTTCGTTGGTTGAGTGGCGGCAGCCGTCACGACAGTGGACATTGCAACCGCCTCGCTATTGGACTCCACTGTGTCCTCAATGTGCACCACAGCGTTGCTGGACTTGACCACGTCTGCAATATTGGATGAATTTTGGCGATAGCTATCGCTGCCATTCCACAAACCCAGGTCCGTGCGCTGCAGCTCCGCAGATACCAGGGCATAGAACTCCAGCGTGGGTCCTAGTCCGGTGCCCACCTAAAAGGCAGACATTATAAGGATTAGACGATTCATTACTAATTGATGCTAAGCCGCACAACAAACCTCATTCTCGTATTGAATCTCCAGCAGGGCCTTGGAATTACCAAAGTCCTGGAGTATGTGCTCGGCCTGCTTGAGCAGCTCGGCACGGGAGATGGCTCGCTTGCGTCTATCAAGACGTGGCGCCACACGTTCCGATGACTCGGCCGAGTTCAGGTCCGGTGTGGTGTCCAACAGGCGCTGCAGTGCCCGATCCCGATCAAAGCTAGTGGCATAGAAAAGCAAGTGACGCGTCTCGAAGGGGAAGAGGAAGGGGCAGGCCATGCCAATCTGAGGCAACCATTGTGGCAGATTGCCCGTCATGATGACCAGCGGATCCTGCAGCTGACGATTCGCCTTGGCCGTAATCTTTGGATGCACAAACTCAGTATTGGCAATGATATTCTGGCGCACCACGCAGCCATAGAGGTACTCCCAGTGTCGATTCAGAGCATAAATGACACGCAGCATGCACAGAGCATCCAGCGAGGCATCCTGCACGGTCACCACATCAGCGGGCAGGCTACTGCACAGGTATGGCTTCAATGGTGACACCACCGGCGGGGCAATGCCCTCGTGCCACAGTTCGGTCTTTTTGCGCATAAATTTGCTGCTGGATTTGTGGGATTTCTTGCCGCCAGTACTGGAGCTGGCCGCCGAATTAGACGAGCTGGAGGTGGAGCACGAGGTGGCGAGCACAAGTGTTCCACTGGACGTAGCATGGCTGGTGCTGCTGCCGCTGCTGTTGCTGTGTGTCAGATTTTGCTTGTGGGCCTGACTGCTGCTGCTACTGCTGCAGGAGCTGTTTGGCCCAGATCCGCCAGCGAGTTCCTCCTCGACGGGGCGATAGAAGATGGTGTGCTGCTGCACCCAAATGCTGCTATTGCCTACAGATGGATTAGATGGATTAGCTTAAATAGATCCACTCGCTTAAAGGACTCTTTCTAATTCCACTTACCTAGCAGCATCTCGGACTCGTTGTCCGTCTCGTGCTGCTCGTTGACTAGCGGAGAGAACTGCTTGACCGCCTGGTAGACGGTCATATTGTAGGGCAGCACATGCTCCCCGATGAGGAATTGCAGCTTGTGCTTGAAGCCAGACTGGGTCATCACCACAGCGGCCACATTGTCATCCATATCCTCCTCGCTGTCATCATCGGAATCGGCGCGTATTCCGCCATAGCCGCGCACCACCAAATACCGCTCGATGGCCTGGACCATGGCTAGAGGATCGATCTTGACGGTGCCGCCCTTCCACTGGCGCAGATTGGTGCACAGCGGATGACGCTGCAGATTGCACTGGAGATGGCAAAAGCAGAGGAGATCATAAGTAAAAGCTGACGGGAATTGCCTTGGGGGGCTCTTCAGATCGACTTACCTTCAATTGATGGGTGTTAAAGAAACGTAGTGCACTCTGGTTGGTGCGTCCGCCGGGTCCGGCTTGGAAATCGTGCACCTTGACGGGAAATTGTTCGAGCTGTGTAACGCAGCCATTTAGCTTGGCCACGAAGGCGCCAAAGGCGAGCGGTTCTATCGCCGGCAGCTGGCCCACATTCTGGAGAAGTGGCTCCAACGGCAATCCGGCAAAGACGTGCATAAAGCTACGCAGACGAGCGTCGCGCTCCACAAGACCTGTTTCGCTGGTCATGTAGTTGAGCATGGCCTTGATTAAGCCAGAATGGTTCACCTCAAACGGTGATATGTCGCTCTCCAGCAGGATGGTCTTCAGTTCAAGGAGCGCATCCAGGCAGTCGTGGTAGCTGCCGTTCAACTTGAGCAGAATGCTCGATAAACGTTCCAGGACGGTGGTGCTAGCCAGCGATGTGGTTGAAGCGGCTACTGCTGCGCCACTTGAACCTGCATTTGCTCCTGCTCCTGCTCCACCACTGGCGCCCTCACTCTCGCGGGCTTTGCTACGCCGTGCTTCCTGCTCCGTGTAGCGTTTGACGAAATCGATGGCCTGCTCTCGCACCCATTGGCGTGCCCGCTCCCGATTGGCGGCCGCCATCAGATTGGCATGCGAGATGCTCTTGCTGATGCTGGCAGCCACGGCGGCGGCGTTCATACTGCCGCCAGTAGCGCTGCCCGAATAGGAAAGTCCAGAGGATGAGCCGCATGCGCCTCCAGTCGAGGAGCCGCTGCTGTTGGTGGTGTTGCTGCCATCTTTAGACAGTCCGTGATGCGATGCGGATTGCTGTTGCTGCTGCTGTGAATTGTGCGCCATCTGGCGTCCCCAGCGTGCCGGATTGAGCGAGGACAGAAATGAGGATTTGGTAGAGGAGCTGCCTCCATTATTCGTATTGCCGGCGCTGAAGCGCGACTTGGAATTGCCCGAGCCGCTGTTTGAGCCCGACCCTGTGCTGGGAGTGTTGCGGCCACCTGCGTTGCTGCCCAGACCTGTCCGAATCATAGATATGGGATGGATTAGTCATGAGTGAGGACAGAGTATATACAAAATATGGACACTTACTCGTCGCACGGCTGAGCAGCTCGTGCATGGCCGAGCTGGCCGAATTGGTGGCAACAGCTGCCGTTGCGGCATCCTCTTGCCTGGACTTGGCCCGTCCGCTGCTCTGGGATTTGCGCTTGGGCGGCGCCTTGCGCTTCAGCATATCCGTCATCTTGTGTTGCAGTGCCGAGGAGGACGAGTTAATATTGTTGTTATTGGCACTGTTGCTGCTGCTGCTATTGGTGTTAGCTGCTGCCGCACTGGTCGAGGCAACAGCCACGCCCATGTGCTGTGGCTGCTGCTGTGGTGTCTGCTGCTGGTAGCTGGCGCCGCCTGCCGAATTGTTGAAGATAATCTGTGCGGGCGTGAGTTGTTGCTGCTGGCTATTGGGCAATAGCTCGAGCGGTGCAGCTGGCTGCTGGAAATTCAGATACTGTCGTGGATCGGCGGTTGCTGTGGCAGCCACAAAGAAGGCAGCAGGAGCCGGCGCTGCAGCGGCCGTGACGGAGGCAACGCCAGAGGACGAGCAAGGCGCAGAGCTGCTATAGTTGTAGCTGGTTCCAGTGCCATCCATTCCAGCAGCAACAGTTGCTGCTTGCTGATGTTGCTGCTGCTGCTGCTGTTGCTTGGACACTGTGTTGGCGCTGGCGGTGAGCGCGTTCATGGCATGCGAGAAGCTCTTCACGCTGTACGATTGGTGCTTGGAGCTGCTGGGCGTGGCATTGGCGCTGCTGGATCCGCCTCCAGTCGAGCCTGAGCCCACGCTCACACTGTCCATGAAGAAGGGATTCACCTGCAGGCTGTTCGCCGATGCGGGCGCACTCTGCGATCCGCCTGCATTGGTCGTGGGCGTGGCAGCGGTGCTCAACGGCTTCGGCGAAGGATTGGCGCAAATGGGATTGCTGGGATCGGTCAACTGGGTGAACTGATAGATGACGCCCTCGCGGCGGAAATGCGTGCCAAAGACATCCGGCAGCTGACGCATCAGAATCTCGGCCATCTGCAAGGCGCCGACCACAATGCGCAGATCATTGCTGCCCAGCATGCCGGCAATGTGGCTGGACACCAGCTGATACTTGAGCACCTGCCTCAGGAGCTCGGGCGTCGCATAGTAGACCATGCGCAGCAAGGCGCGCAGGCACTTGTAGCGCACGTTGGGTCCGGCCGAGGAGCTGTACACCTCGTACAGCACGTTGAAGATGTGCTTGATGAAGTCGGCAGCCAGGCCGCGCTCCTCCTTCAGACAGGCGATGCGAGCATCCAGCGAGGGGCGACGCTTCGCCAGATGCGACGAGGAGTTGCTGCTCGTATTGTTGTTGTTGTTGTTAGCAGCAGCTGCTGCTGCTGCCGCCGTGGATGTGGTGGCCGCACCACTTGTACTCAAGTCCTGGCCGGCTGCAACTGCTGCGGCGGCTGCTGCTGCCGCTGCACCGGGTGCCACATAATTGGGATTCAGTTTCCGCTGCACGGGTCTGGTGGTGCCCGTATCCTCGTTGATCTGCTGCATGGCATGGAAGTCCACCGTGTAGGTACGTCCCAGTGTGCTCAGACTGATCTCGTCCTCGCTGCTCTGATGGGCCGCCTCAATCAGGCGGGAGTCAATGGTGGAATAGTTGTGCCAAGCGCCACGATCGTCGCGCCATTGCCACTGCACCTGATCCTGGGTATTGAGCGTGGGCCGATCCAGCAGAGCGTCCACGGCAAAGATGCCATCCAGCGGCAGGCGTGGCATCAGCTCGCCAATCAAACATGTCAGCTCCAGCAGCTCCAAAGGCGGACGTGTCACGAGCTCCACGTGAGTAGCACTGGCCGCCGCCGGCTCAGCGTTGCCGGTGAGCAGATAGAGCAAGGTGGCGGCTATATCGTTGCGCAACAGCGATATGGCCAGGTCCGGGCAGGCGGCGCACATCAGGCTGAGCATGCGCACCACATTAGTGAAGGTGCCCGTGTTGAGTATGGGCGGCGTCACCACCAGCAGCTGCTGGCAATTCTTGAGGAGATCGGGACTGGCAATCTGTTGCAATCGCTTGCCATCGTGTGGGAAACTCTCGACCAGACGCCAGAAAGCGGTGCACACGCTGTCCACGCACTTCTTGTCCTGCTGCGAAAGCAGGCGGGCCAGCTGGGGCAAGCTCTCGGAGACGAAGTGGAACTCCTCGGCATGCATGTTCTGGCAGCAGTTGGCGGTGATCGAGAGGGCAGCGCGTTGGGCCACGATCGAGAAAAAGTCCAGGTAGGTGAGGCAGGCGCTGATGCCATTCGCCTGCAGTATGGCCTTGTTGTGGCGTCGCGACAATATCTCTAGTGCAGTCAGACTCTGTTCAGCTACATCCATACACTGGATGACCTGTAGCTTCTCCAGGAACACGGGCACTGCGTCGACGACAGTTCCAGCGGAGCGAGGCAGTGCCTCCAGCATGTAGGCCAGGGCCCGACAGGCGTTGTTCATGATATCAAAATTGTGCTCCATACGCAGCAGCTGGATGAGGGCGGGCACCACCTGCTTGACAGGGAAGCCGGCCAGGGTATCCTCGTTGCCCATGACCAGCATTTGGCACATCTCGATGGCGGCCTGCAGCTGTTGGGATTCATCGTGCGACTGCAGGCCCTGCAGCAGCTGATTTGCCTTCGAGGTGCTGCTGTTGCCAATGGTCCGGTGTAGTATGTGTGTCATCCGCGGCCCCAATGCTCCAAACAGATGCGGCGGCAGGCCTCGTGCCTCGAGCAAAGCTTGGAGGCGTCCCACCTCGCTGTCATCGCTCTCTGAGTCAGCGGCAGCTGCTGCGGCAGCAGCGGCCGCGGCAGCAGCATTCACAGCGGCAGCGGCGCCGGTTGTGGCTGATGATCCGGCACCTGTTGCACCCGTTGCTGCTGACTGCACAGCACTGGCAGTAGCAGCAGTTGTTGCTGCAGCTGCAGCTGTTGTTGTGGTTACATTGTTGCTGCTGCCGCTGGCCGAGGCACTGTTGCCGCTGCCGCCGCTAGCGTTGCTGCTGTTGGCGCCCACTGCGCTGCTAACGTTAACGTTGACTGCAGAGTCTCCACGTGCGGCACTCAATGCGGCTGCTACAATGCTGAGGTTGGCCGAGTTAGATCCTATTTCAGAAAACGGAATAGGGAGAAAGAGAGAGACAAAAGAAATACAATTAATTAACAAAGTTGAACTCTTTCAGTTATAACTGCTCTTAAGAATAACTAATACATTTAAATACAGTTAGAGTGACAGATAGTTTTACAGACAAACGAAAATGTTAGCATTAACAGTGCTGTTCAGCTTTGTATTAACAGTGTTGGCAAATAATAAGTCAAATAAAACTGCTAAACGAGTCACCCTGTGTGCTGAGTGTGCGGAGTTGTAAAAGGAAATTAGAAAAATAAAAAAAATAAAACTTAAGGATGAATGTTTGTATGCATATATGTATGCGTGTGTTTGGGTATGTGAGTTAAATGCGTGTATGTGTGTGTAAATGTGTGTGTGGGTGTATGCGTGGTGCTAGTGTTGTTATATAGCTCATTTTTTACCTGACGTCAGTTGCTGTCCACCTGCATGCGGCGGTCCATTTGGCGCTTGTTGTTGCTGTTGTGCCATCAAACTATATGTTAAAGCATCCGAAGCTGCTAAATTGAATTGGTTTTTTTTTTTTTAAGAAGAGCGCACGAGCGAGAGAAAGAGAGAAATGCAAAGAGTAATTAGAACGCTTTCATTGATTTTAGTTCGTTGTAGATTTCAGGTGGGGTGGGGGCAACGGCAGACACCGCGAGCAAAGCGACGCGCACGACGGCAGCAGAGTGGAGCGGTCAAAAAGGGATTCAAGGGGCGAGAGATGTATGAGGATCAGATATGTATGTGTGAAGGATGTGTACAAATAAAATCGATGATTAATCGCAAATGAAAAGCTTTCGATATATGAACACCACAGCTATCGACGCCTGAGCACAGCACAGATATATCGAGTATAAAAAGCTGCTGTTATCGGGATATATTGCGACTTATTGGTGCAGTTATACAAGACTTGTTTGATTGATTGTTGACCCAACACCAGTTGATATATATATATATAAATATATGTAACATAACAAATCCGAGCCCTGACCAAGCATATATGTATATACAAAACGGACCACGCCTGCTCTGCCTAAAGCCTAACGCTAAAATTGTACAAAGTGGTGCTTGCGTGCGTATGTGTGTGGTGGACTAACGGTAAGAAAAGAAAAATAGAACAAGAGTCGAGAACTGATTCAAGCAAATGTGATACTGATTCGATTGATATTTATGATGGTCGCAATTAACGTCCCGCTTTGCTGGCTGATCCTCCACTTTTGCCTCCTTCTCTCCACACACACTCCGCCAAGCTCTCCTCCACATGGGCACGACTTACCGCTGCTGTGCGTTGCTTTCGGTTGCTGCTGCAAATGTTGTTGGTGCTGCTGATTGTGATTACTGCGGTAGCTGAACAGAAAGCCAGGCTGGACAATTGTTGCACGTTGTTGTTGCTGCTGCTGTTGGTGCTGCAGCGCCTGTTGATGCAGTTGCTGCTGTTGTTGCTGTAGGGTCACGTGTTGTTGCTGCTGCTGTTGTTGTTGGCGCACCGCAACAACCACCGTGTTACCGGCCAATTGCTGATGGTATTGATATTGATTGGGCGGCTGTTGTTGCTGAAGTGTAGCGGCAGCAGCAGCAGTGCCGGGAGCAACAACAACAGCTGTTGCTGCTGTTAATTGGTGTTGCTGCAGATGATGTTGCTGCTGTTGCTGGCCGGCTGCTGCTGCTGAACTCACACAGGAACCCGTTTTGCCACGTGAACTGCGACGCAGTGAAGAATGTTGCTGCTGTACGTAGCCCGTATGCTGCTGTTGTGTTGGTGGCGGCACAAATGTTGCTGCTGCGTAACGTGGCTGCTGCTGGTATATAATAGACGGTGGTGCTGCACGTGCTTGTTGCGACCCTGTGGAGTTATAGTGATGCGGTTGTTGTTGTTGTTGTTGTTGGGGGTGTTGCTGCTGCTGCAGATTAAGCACTGCAACAGCAGCGGACGAACTGTGATAATATTGCGGCTGCTGACGTTGCTGCTGCTGCTGCTGATGATGGTGTTGTTGCTGTTGCTGATGGTGTTGTGGGTGTTGCTGATGATGATGTTGCTGCTGTGCGGCTGCTGTGAAATATGTTGCCGTTTGAAAATGTTGTGTTGCTGGTGCAGTGGGCGTCACAAAGGAAGACAAATGAGCACCAGCAAACTGATGGGCGGGCAGCAGCTGTTGCGGGTGTGACACCGACTGTTGCTGCTGCTGTTGCGTTGTATACGGCTGCATGTGTGGGACTCCCGCTGCTGCTGCTGCTTGTGCTTGCGTTTGGGCTTGGGGTTGGGGTTGGGATTGAGGTTGTTGTGGTTGCGTGGCCAGCACACTGTAATCAACAATGCCAACAGCACCAGCAGCAGCGACAGCGGCGCTTGTGCTGCGTGTGGCACGTGCCGCCGCCCCGTGTGCCCCAATCTGTTGGCCAGGGGGGGCGGCACGCTGATACCCGGACGTTGTTGTTGTTGTAGTGCCTGTTGCTGTTGCTGCAGCGGCTGTTGTTGTTGCTGGTGTTGATGAATATGTTGCCAGCGTGTTTTTGTTCTGCTTATTGCTGCTGTTGTTGTTGTTATGACTTGCTGTTGTTGTCGTTGTTGCTGCTGCTGTTGTTGTTGTGGATTTGTTGCTGTTGCTGCGTTTTGAGTGTGGCGCACCTTTTGTAGTTGTTGCTGCTGTTGCTGTTGCAGTAGCTGTCGTATGTATTGTTGTTGCAGTTGGGCGGCAAGTAGAGAGGGGGGGTAGAGTAGTGGGAAACAACAGTTAAACAGCTTTGTTTTTGTTTGATTTTTTTTTTTTTTTTGTTATTTTATTTTTTTTTTTTTTTTTTTTTTTTGCTTGCAGCTACTCTACTACGTTAGTTGTTGTTGTTGCTTTTGGGTAATGGTAAAATGCATAGGCTTAGGGATAAGGGGGATAGCACTTGGCTGTTGTGAGGGGGTGGTAGTCTTGTACTAGAGAGCGGGACGTGGGTCGCTGCTGACAATGATGATGTTGCTGCTGCTGCTGTTGCTGCGGTTGTTGCTGCTGAAGCTGCTGATGTTGTTGTGGCTGTGGCTGTGGCTGCTGCTGCTTCTGCTTCTGCTTCTGCTGCTGCTGTTGCTGCTGTGAGTGACTGTTGCTGCTCGGCACTAAACTATCTTTATGTTGCTGTTGTTGTTGTGGTTGTTGTTGTACGTATATTTGTGTTCGACGCACACGCACACACAATACACACGCACGCAAGCTTGAGAGAGACTACAGCAACATGTTGCTGTTTCTATTGTAGCTGGTGTGCTGTTGTTGCTTAGCTGCTGCTGCTGCTGCTCCTGCTGTCATTGTTGTTGCCCCCATCGTATTCGCTGTTGCTGCACTTTTGTTGTTGCTGCTGCTAATAGTTGTCGTTGTTGTTGTTGTGGCTGCTGCTGCTTCTGCTGCTACTTGAAACCTCTCTGATTTGCTCTCTCTCTCTCTCTCTCTCTCTCTCGATCTCTTTTTCTCTCACTGTCTCTTTCCCAATCTCTCTCTTTCCTTCACTCATTTGCTTTCTATTTTGCTCAAGGCGCAATGGCGCCTCTGCTTGCGCATATGTGTGTTAATTATATATGATATATGCTCAAGATATATAATATATAATTTAGTTTGCTTGCACAATAACAACAACATCATCATCATCATCATCATCAACAACACAAGGCATCAGCAATGAAATATGCTACATATATATGATCTATAGCACATGTTTATGTACATACATATTTATATTTATATAGTTAAATTATTTATATAAATATTTATGATCTGGCATTAACACAATCGTATTAATAAATAAAATTAAAATATGTTTGCAGCAACAGCAACGTGCAAAATGAAATATTGAAACAGACTTTTGGAGTTTTACAACACTGCTGGCACAACAGTGCATTGTAAAATAAAAATTTAAAAACAGAATAATAATAGTTTGTGTACACACTGGCCACATACTAAATCAAAACACTTGACAATATGCAAGACTTTTCCATACATAAAAGTAATTAGAGTAGATATAAAATAAATATGTAAAAAAATTGATGGGCGTATTTTCATTTGAATGTGAGATATCGGATGAATGAGTGAAATCGAATATTAATTGGCGCTTGAATGAATAGATATACATACATACATATGTACATTAACATATGTACCACCTGCTTTTTGATAATTAGATGGCACAGCACACAGGGACTTGTAGAAGGGCGGGTGGGGTGATATAGGCGTGGTTATGAATTGGTTGCAGAAATATATAACAGGCCTTATTCCAATAATTGTATAGCTAAATCAATGACTGTGTATTTTTAATATATAACCTTCGCTCTTGAAGAGGGCATTCGCAATTCGTCAAGCAGAATTTTTTTTTAAGTAATTGAATCCGTTGAACTTTTTTGAAATTGTTAAGTCAGATTCCAATTGGAGATCTGCTTAGAAACGTGCCAAAGTTTCGGGACACACGCAATATATTTTTATAACTTAATACTTTTATATGACATGCACCCTATTTTGGTATTATATTCTTATTTTTGCACAAATTCTTTAAGTGTTTTTCGTTCTAAACAGCGCGACGTTAATAATGCGACTGACTTTTGCCAAAGTGCATTGGCATTGCGAACAAACACACACACACACACACACATACGACATATATATGCATTCTATATGTATATACACATATAGAATTTTATCAACAAAACAATTATTGTTCATGTGTGTCTGTCTGTGTGTGTGTATGTGTGTATAGACTGCATGACGCTGCGTAAAAGGCAATTGTACAAGAAAATGTTTCGTTTTTTTGATAAGAAATTCGCGCACTTAACAAAAAAGTAACGAACAGAAATAAGTAAATTAAATTCCCTTTGTTATTATTCTTTTCTGGGTGTGGTTACACTGGTCCATTTGTTAATTTAATGTGCAAAATTACAAGAGTTAAGAGAGCATTCTCTAATTACAGGAAAGCACCAAATGAGTAAAGAAAATATTACTAATTATTTATGTACAACAAATCAACAATGCAAGCGATTCAATATAAAGTCATTCAAGGAGCACAAATTATCTACACAAAATAATGTTTCTTTAAATATTAGTTAAATTTGTTTAGGATATCACAGACTGGAATTTACCAACAATACCGAAGGTATATTTTATATAAACTGATGTTGACAACTTTAATTTTCGATTTCAACAAATGTCAAGTTTTGCTCTTTATACATGGTTGCACTAATCGACAATTTGTTATCGATAACTGAGTGCAGCAATCATCAATTTATCAAATGAATTAATGTTAACCAGAAAATTAAAAAAAAAATAAATAAATAAAAAAATACATATTAAAATTGTAATTTTAATATTGCCGTAAATTCCAGTCTACTTATTCTATTCACCCAAATCAGTTAAATCACAAATGCTAATTCGACTGATTTATAGTTTTAGCACATATCTAACCTTAAGAAAACTTAATTCAAAACAAATGTCAACTATCAATTAATATTTGTATATTACACTGTGTATAGCTATGCTATATATGTATTGTAGTAAATAAAGGAAAATGCAACTCACCACCAAGTTCACCAATAATATGCTCAGCGAATTCACCCTCTGAGAGATCGTCTTCCTCTTCGTCGAAATCCTCCTCAAGATCGTCGTCTTCCTCGTCGTCCACGTCCTCCTCTTCGCTGAGTTCGTCCTCTTCGGCAACGATCTGGGCGTCTTCCTCGTATGATGAGTCCGCTGAGTTGACTATTTCGTAGAAACCCACCTCCTCCTCTTCGGCTTCCACTTCCTCCTCTTGATCTTCGTCGTCTTCCTGATCCTGTTCTTGTTCGTCCAGCTCCTCGGCGGAGTTGTTTCCGCCGGCGGCCTCAAATAGCCCGTTCGCACCACCGTCAATAGCGGCGGCGGCGGCGGCGGTGTCCTCTTGCTCGTTGACGTCTATGCTGTTGGCCTCCGCCTCGGCCTCTAGATGCTGTCGCTGGTCCTCCAAGTTACCGCAAATGTTCTCGTTATGCTCCAACTGCTCGTCCTCCTTGCTTGGAATCTTTTCCGCTGTCCCGTCAATTCTGGCGAGCAGCTGTTGCTGATAGTTGCGTAAACTCTTTCGGTACTTGATGTACTTGTTGCTGGTATTGGTCTTCTTGTCCAGACGTTTAACAGCGACGTTATTGTTGTTATGGTGGTGGTGGCCGGAGTCCTGGCGGGCAGCGTCAATGGCTGCTGCCGCTGCTATAACCGCCGAGCTGCTGGCCTGCAGCCGTGCGTTTGCTGTCTCCGGGATTTTACCTAGCGAATCCTCCTGCTCCGGTTGCTGTTGTGGTGCAGGTGGTGCAGGTGCTGCAGGTGCTGCCGTGGGCTTGCCACGCGTGTGACTCACTTTGCGTGTCTTGCGGTAGTAGTTGAGCAAGTTGCTGCCACTAGTGCTGCTGTTGCCACCGCTAGTGCTGCGCGCCCCTGCTCGACCAGCTGCCCCACGCTGTGGCGTCACACCAATCACGTGCTGACAGTTGCTATTGGTGTTGCTGCTGCTGTGACGTGCGGCGGCCGCGCTGCTGGTACTTGGCAGCTCCTCGGGCGTGAGAGTCTTGGAGCGTGTGCGCTGGGCCACACAATCGCCGCCGGGTGTTAAGCGCGGTGTGTGCTGCAATTGAGTGTCGTCCGTTGCAGTTGCCCCTCCAGCCGACGAGGCGCCTTCACTGATAGCTGCAGCGGCTGATTGTAGAGCCTGCTGCACACGACGCTTCTTCAACGGTGAATTTAGCTCCACGTATTGGTCCCCGCCGGGCGCAGCTGTAAAGGACATGATGTCAACCGAAAACTTTAGTAAAGCCTGTGCGTGTAATTTTTCTTTTTATAGGAATTGTAACTAAAAGTCGAGGGGTTGGTTGGTTTGATAGTAATGGTAGGGGTACAAAACTTGCTTATAAATTTAATGATTCGAGTAACCAAAAATAAAATTTTGGCAAAATTGTTTCTAGCTTCTAGTTTATATTATTTTTGATTTTTTGAAGGGTGTGGCGCTGCTGCTGTTGATGACCTTTACAATTTAGACGAACAAAAGTATAATGCTCTATAGTTTTTAGTGCCCGAATCAACAAAGCAAATGTAATTCTTTTTTTTTTTTTTACTAAATTTATTTGTCACTCACTTTCTCGTACTTTCTGCTTGATTTGAACACTCAACACTGAAACTAACCCTATGCGAGTTGTCAAAAATAGATTACTTTGCGATATATGCTTAAATATCGACATTCTATAATAGTGCTCGCAATTAATTATAAATCAGTCTTGCAGTCGACAGCTATCGATATTCTATATCTATTAATAATTTGAAATATTTGGTGTACATATAACTCGAAGAAACAAATGATAATTGAATATGGGATCCTATCATCTTGTTAATATCGCTCAGCAATTAATTGTTGTATAATCGAAATATTTTCCTTTTAGCTAATTTACTTACATGAACGTTGTTGCTGGTTGTGGTTACTGATGTAGTTGTTGTTGTTAATCTGTTGTTGATGATGCTGGCGCTTGCGACTGCCTGGCGATAAGGATGAATCGTTGGCGTTTACGTTGTTTGACGATGTGTTGGTGTTGGACGCAACACGTGTGGAGGTGATCACACTGCTGTGTTCTGCAGAGCGTCGATTAACTTCGGTTCCTGTGGATTTCCTGTTAATCTTGCTGTTCCCGCAGGTTGTTGTTGTTGTCGCTGCTGCTACAATTGCTGTGAGGCTGCGACTCTTACTGCGCGAACGTCGTCCGAAGGATGCGGCAGAAGGAGCAGCAGCAGCAGCTATTGTTGTCGTGGATGTTGCTGCTGTTGCTGAATTACGTTTCTTGTTATTGCTTTTGTTATTGTGACTGTTATAATTGTTGCAGCGCCGTTGTGTATTGCCGGTGGCAGTTGCTATTGTTGCTGTTGTTGTACTACCGTCGTGCTGCCCCTCCGTCAATGCAGAGAGCGTTTGACTTTTAACGGACTCGGCCATAGACGACACTTAACCGCACTGGCATCGAACACACTTAACATGCCAGCTTCACGGATAATTGTTTGCAATTATAAATTGGTCTCTTAATTCTAAATTCTTGTCCTAAATAATAAATAAAGTCAACCGCACGTTTATTTCCTGACGTTGTTGTTCCTTTAATGTGTGGGCCCCAAAGACAGCAGAGCCTTGGCGATAGACCTATATTATTAATTGGTTTTTACACACACTTTCCGAGTTTATTGGACTTGGTTTGGTTTTCTATTAACTTAGTTGCTGAGTGCACGCTGCGTATTTCGTAGTTATTGCAAGCAGCGGAGAGTTTTGTGCTGTAAAAAATAATAGAGCACAAAAGTTGTTTAGTGAACTTGAATGTTTTATTTTATTTTTGATAGTATTATTATTTCTTGACGTTTGCCGTCGTTTACATCAAATTGACAGCAAGGCGAATATTGGCAATCGATAAATTTGTTAAGTTAGTTGTACATTAACAAATGCAGCCAACTTAGCAACGTAATAAAATAAAACAGAACAAAATATAATAACGTCGCAACCGAATACAATTCGAAATTAGAAAAAGAAACACTGAGCACTGACCTAATGACTATTGGGGTGAAGAATGAATGTAAAGTAAAAAGATCAGTGAAAACAAAATAGGAAGTGCACAGAGGGTAGTCTGTGTGCGTAAAGCAAGAACAAAGAACCGGTCACTGTCGCTGAGGATTGTAGCAGATTTGGTGCCCCTTTTAGACAGGTACTCGCATGTATGCAGAATAAAGGAAAAGCCAGCAGAAATGAAAATTGATAAGCAGCAGCACACTAGAGAATACACCACCATCAAAACACATATATAAATATACCCACACGCGCACTCACTCACTCGCTCGCTCGCACACAAGCAATTGAGCACATTTCAACAACATATGTGCGCAGTAAACACATACAGATATGTTAATAAATTAACAGCTGTTTGCAGCAGCAGCAGTCACCAACACGTGCATATGCCCTATAGAAAGAGAGCGAGAGCCAGCGCGCAGATGTTGGCAAGCAACTTGTTTTGAGTGGAATTCGTCTATATTGCACTCAACTCATATACACACAGAGATAGAGCTTACATAAAGTGAGCGCGCACATGCTGTGCTGTTAATCAGCTGTTCTCGGCCGTTTTGTTTATGTTTTGGTTTTCGTAAGCAGCGCTACGCTGAGCTGTTGGCTGACTGCCCCTTCTTCCTATGTATGTGCGAGCGAGCGAGCAACGAGTTGGAACTCGTTGTATGTGTGTATGAGTGTGTGTTCGTTGGGAGTGTGTGTGTGTGACTTGTCATGCTTGTTTCGTCGCTGCGAGAACGCAATGCACGATCCCGCATTTATATATACACGTATACAACCTCATACATGCATAGATACGTATGAAAATACAATAAGCACACGCGACGAACAAAAGATAAAAAGCAAAACAAGCAAAAGGCAATTGTAGCAGCAGCGCAGCACAGCAAAACGTGTTGGCGGCAACGGCAACGGCGCCCTTTGCAACGCAGGCAGCGAGTTCGCATCGTCTTGCCTACACTACACAAAATAAGTGCGTAGTTTGTGTGTGCGCCCTCATATTAATTTGTCAGCTACTCAAATCTGACACGAAAACCAGCAAAACCAACCGTCAATCACAGTAAAGCGAATTGAGTTCAAGGCCATTTTAAATGAAACTAGCAAAACGCTGCCGACATGAAAATGTGTTTGAATTTGATTTTTTCGCTAGTTTTGTCTATCATGCTGCCACAAGTTTTCCACACAAAAAATAATAATAATAATAAATAAATAAATACATAAACAATACAAAAAAAAAAAAATGTGCGAGGCCGCAAATGGCAGTGTCGTATATACTGTATATAGATATACGTAAGTATATGTATATACATATATGCGTGCAAGAGTGAGCATTTTCCTCGCGTGTGGCAACTCCAACATATGGCATGTGGTTTGTTTGTCAATGCTTTATCAGCAATTGAAAAATAAAAGGGTCTCGACTTGTACATACATACATATATATTATTATATATAGATACAAAGTTATATCTATACAAAATATTAAATAAGAACCGCTTTAAAGAAATAAATTCATTTAGTTACTTAATATCTTAAATTTCATCATTTTTGTTTTACACTGTGAGACGCTGTAGCGAGCTTTCACTGTACAGAACTACATCTATGAAACCCTGTCCAACGCAGTTACCTTTCGCCCACCCTGCGGGCAAACAATGCTGATAAGAATATTTGTATGTTTCTACTCCACTGACAATCGCTGTTCCCCCACCAATCCGCCCAACCATTAACTGCTACCCCTTACAATTGTGCGTATTGTTTGTAACTTTTTTGTATATATGTATATATATGCTATATACGTATGTATATGCTGTAAACTCAGTCGAGCATATGACGACGCTAGTAACATAACGGGCTGCAAACAGTGTTGCCCATCAAGTTTTCTAATTTTTTTTTTTTTTTTCATTTTGTGTTTCTTCACAGGTTTTCTATTTTCTATTACGAAACTGCTTTTGTGGCCTACGCACAGCTGAGCAGCAAATGTGCGAGTGAGAGCACACTAGGAAAGTGGGGTGTGTATTTTGTTTATGTGTGTGTGTGCAGCAGCGCTTTCTACAGGGTAGAGTGGGGGACTATCAAAGGGCCCGTCGTCACTGTGGCAACTTAACCGTAAAGCAAGTTGCATTGGAAATTTTTCGTGTCGCGTTGCGACGCAGTTAAAGCCAAGCTACTAAACGAAAAGAACGCAATAAAGCACTGTAGCATGCGTATGTGTATGTCGCAGCCCTGGGGGGCTAAGTGCATGCAACAATTAAACAGAAACCTTGCCACTGTTATTGTTTCGCTTGCCTTGCAATATAATGTCTGCAACAAGAGCCGATTCAGGTCTTCATAAAGTTCCAATAACAACAGTACGGCCAAGAATATATAAAACAAAATACTTGTTGCTAATCGCGGTAGAAGAGGTAACTGCAAACAAACACATTATTCACATACAAACGTACATATGTACGTCATTGATGGGCATTTTTATACATATACCAAGTGTTATATACGAATGTGCTATATAAGCCACTTGAATATACAAGCAAGCCTATATACTGTTATACACACAAAGAGAGCGAGACAATACACATATTTGCTGCACTTTAATAGCATTGAAATGAAAATACAGATTGTTAAAATAGTTTCTCAAATTCAGAGCAAGTTCTAACTTAATGTATATTTCCCTTTTTTATTTTTCCTTTAAATTTGTTGTGCTTCCTATGCTGACGACTGTCGATTTCCAGTATAAATACAAAAGGGAACAGAAGCAGCGACGCAGACAGCGACATCAACGTTGTCGCTTACCTCGGCTTGTGCATGACAGAGAACGCACGAGGGGCGAACACATGACGACGATACACTAACACAGACTCACACAGCCCCAATATCTCTCTCACACATACACGGTCTTATAGTCGAGGGTATGTATACGTGTGTACATAACGCAAGCAAAGCGAAGGCAAAAATTACTTGAAATAAACGAATGCAGCAACAAGCATTTCAATAAAAATGTTGCATCGTAATATTTAATGAATGTAATTTATAATTATATAAATATTTACTGCACCTTTGCTTTACATTATGTACTTGCTCACACACAGGTATGTAGAAAAAAATACGTTTCTACGAACCATTTTACAGCTGTGCACGCACTGAAAGCCAACTCACGACTGACAGCAGCGACGTCAATGGCGACCCCGTGTGAAAGAAACGAAACGAAACGAGAGAGCGAGCGAATGAGCGAAAAATGAGTGAGAGTGATTCAGACGAGAATCCATTTTAAGACCCACACAGTCACACAAAATGTACGTTAAATTTAATATTCTTTGTATACAGTATTGTATATAGAATTGTTAATCAAGTCGAACAAATGCAATCAATATAAATGCCAATTTAATATCAATATCTAATTTAAATAGATGAGACAAATAACTGGTTTAGTTCAGTCACAGCTGGCGACAAAGACACTCAGAGGCCCGTTAAGCAGGTCACTCAACCCTTGCCGCTAAATAACAATGAGGTCAACAAACCGACTCAGTAGCTGCACTAACCTACTTTTTATTTACTTTTATTTAAAAAAAATAACTGCCACTGTAAACCATTGCTTAACATCTACTAAATTGAATAAAATTTAACAGATAAGAGTCGTTTAGTTCTAAAATGAAATTCCAATTCACTCAAAATGGCTGCGGGCAAAGAGAGCGAAAGAGAGCGAGCGCATGAAATTCTAGGAGCGCACTCTGATGTATTCGGGGGTTGAATATGTACTCGTTGCTCGCTGGAATTATTTTTTTCTTTTACCTGTGATTGCCCTGTTGGAGTGAGATTAATATTGACCTGATCAGCTGATCAAGAGAATTATGTGTATGTATGTGTTCGTGTTTGGGTTTAACTCTTGGGTTACACAAACAGCTGTTTACATACATACATACACATTTATATATTTGTTAATATATTAACGTATAGCTTGTGAGCAGTGTTGCCAGGTTTTGAGACATAAAAATAGCAAAATCGTCTCTAAAAAATAGCTGAAAATAGCTAAACAAATTTTAAAATAGCTTACAAAATAGCTGAAACCTTTATGCATTATGCATTTACTTTAAATTTTATTTTTAAATGTTATTTAATAATGTTACAATTTGGTCCACATCCAAATCATCATCAGAATTATATTTTTGATTAACTGGAATCATTTTTAAATATTTGGAAGGCACGGTATAATCATGGCAGCATTTGCCATTGCTGCGCAAGAAGAATTAGCGATGGTATAAATTCACAACTAGTGATGGTATAAGTACGACAAAGTCGTGGTGGTAGTATCGCGCAGATCATTACGTACAATTTGGGACTTAATCGAAAAATGTTTTTTATTTTTTTGCTTTAAATACTAAAATCAAATTCAAAATATTCGTTTGTAAAATAGCTAAATTTATAGCTAATAGCATTTTCAAAATTTTCATAGCATTTAGGGTTCAAAAATAGCTAAAAATGCTATTAAATAGCTAATCTGGCAACACTGCTTGTGAGCAATCCTCTAATAAGGTCTCCGAATAACTGACCTGACAGTCGACACGCAGGGGCACCAAAATAGTTCTATTTTTTTTAATCCATACATATAACAGCCACGTAGGGCATTTCTAGCAGCCAAACAGAGGCTGATATAAATAACAGGCACTTGTTTATTTTAGGATAGATAACATTTCAATTTGATTTTCTTTCCTTGAATAAGACACAATCGTACCCAAAATGGCTGTTGACCTGTGTGCGAATCGCTGTGAGCACGATTTTGAGCGACCCACGCTGCGCAGTCGACGTCGCTGCTGGCCTACTTGAAAAGCTACTCACCTGCAAATGCAGTGTGCTAGAGAAACAACAACAGCGTGCCTTAAATGCAACTAGCTGGCAATCGCGAGTGAGCAAACAGATGAGGTTGTAAAACCAGTAACAAAAAACACAATAAATATGCAAACAAACAAACAACAATGTATACCACATACATGCATACAAACACATATGAAACAGGCAATGCAGCAGCTCAAAAGAGCGAGAGCTCAGTCAGCGTCAGCGTTGCCGTCGCCATCGCTGCACAACGGAAAAGAGGCCACGGCCTGCACAGCCGCCGCTGCCAAATTGGGGCGAGCAGCAAAGAGAGCATAAATAAAGAAAACAAAGTAAAACAACAAACTCAAAAGAAACAAAAAAACTTTCGCTTATCGATGATATTCTTGCCCATTTGCATATCGATATTTAGCGCACGCACATATGCATATCGATATCATTTTATTTCGCTTCATTTTAATCATTAAATTTAAACACAAACTGCTGGCAGAATGGAATGTAAAACCACATTGCTCCGAATGTCCAATTGCAGGCAGATGCAACGTTCACTATCTATGCCGATCATAATTTCTTCATTGGGCAACTGGAGTGCATTGAAGAATGCAGATGCCTTGCGTGTATCCACGGAGCACGAGATTTCTGGCTCACTAGTCTCTGCCCCAGCACCTGACTGTCCTTGATCCGGCTTATGCAGTAGCAGGCGACTGAAACGTGTTGTTATGGTGGCCATTTCAGATTCGGCTACCAGATTTAGTTCGCCGGCTGTGCTGCCATGGAATATAAGACTGGGCGATATGTTTTTTAACTTATCAATCAGACTGCGCAGCAGTCGAAGCGATGGAACGCCGAGCACAATCTGAGTATTCGGCACTTTGGGCAGCATAAACGAGGCCCAATCGCTGGCCGGGATCACAGTCACAGGCACGTCGTGCACCACCTCACGCGGCTCAGAGGAATTGGGTGACACCACCGATGCTATCACCGAGATGCAGGGAAATTGTATTTGCTTCAGATTCAGCTTACAGCTGTGGACGCTGCTGCTGGAGCCGGACCGCAGGACAGCAAGAGAGCGACTGAGATGCATTGCGGACATGACCAGCACGATGAACTCCTGTTCTGGCCGTGCTGGCGTCATTTGGTACTCTGGAAAATAGTCTTTGGACGCTATGCTGACCCACACGAGCGGCGATGAGGTCGAGCAATGCTCCTCGTTCACAATGAAATGCATTCGCTCCTGTGCCACTATCATGACGCAATCCTTGGCCAGCTTGGCCAACGTGGCGGCAATCGCCTGAAACTCGCGCATGTAGAGCACGTCCAGCATCTTGGCACGGAACTTCATGGCAGCCAGAGACCAGTTGCTGAAGGATGCGACGACGACGCGCAACACGAAAAAAAGAACAAGAAAAAGAAAACTAAAATCAAACGCTGGCTGCCAAAAAAAAAGGTAGAGAAGCAGCACAAAGAAGAATTGCAAAACTACACCAGAAAGTAAGGTGAAATTCGTATACCCTACAACCTATTCACCAGATTAATATTTTGTAGACTACATTTTTACAAAATTTATATTCATTCATATTTTCATAGTTATAGACTTTAAGCAAAGATACAAACGCGATCTGTAAACGAATATATAAACATGCGCTAATGGAACATAAAACTGAATTAATTGCTATGATCAGCCTTTAGTGAAACTAGAAAAATAAGTGAAATTTAAAACATGTAAGAAAACTCGTCGGCAGCGCTCGACAAGGAGAGTGGCTAGTCCAATTCCTAAAGGCATCGACTCAGCCTGTCGCCATGATCAGGAATATATATAATAAATGGGCTCTGCCACGTCTACTTCTGCCTGTTACATACATTTTAACAAGCCCATTATACCTCAATATCCCATTTTCAATGGGTTCAGGGTATAAAAAAGAGAAGACAAATGCGGAACGTGACAGACTCGCAACTCGAGACGACTCCAGGAATAGGACGGAGCACTGGGCCTGCCAGCCGAGTTCAATGTACAAAGGCGCACTTCTACACAAATAAATCTATATACATACACACATACACACACATGCACGGCTAGCAAAGTCAGCCAGGCGAAGTGCAGACAAAGCGCAAAGCAAGTTCGAGTTGTGTTTTGGGTTTTTGAGGGGGCGAAACAGCGTGGAAAGAGTAAAGCAAATGAAACACATATACACACTCACACACACACACACACAACTCTCTCACACACTCTTTCGCTATACACACAAAGCCGCCGACAAAACACACACTCACACAAACAACAGGATTTTGTTTTTATTCGCTGCACTGGAAAAAGGGAAGGCGTCTACATGGCCCAACTGGCTGCAAGTGGAAGTATATTAAAGGACGGTAGCTGCTGCTCACTCTCGACAACGAAAATCAAATTATGTATATGTAACCCGTAGGCGTCGACGACACAATCTGGCGGTCAATTCACTGCTCTGGCGTGCGTTTGGGGTCAAAATATTTTCCTTTGCAGTTCAATCAACTTTCAAGGTTGAATTCTGCCAGGCTGTCTGCGTTACCACATGGGTAATACAATTATTGTACCTGCTGGTGCTACCAACATTAATTAAATTCGATGTCCGAATGTTCAGAAATCGATCATTTTAAGCAAACAAACAAACATTAAAATGTGACCTTGATTTTTGTTGCTTAGCGGCTGTCGCTTGAGCAGTTTCCCATTGTCACTTACTTCTCAGTGACGTCACACATGACGCTTGTGAATTCCATAAGCCTTTGTAAATATATTCAAATGGCGATCATATTCCGGCTGCTGTGGAGCATTACTTGCAAAAATTGAACACAAGTTGCCAATCACCAGAACCTTCAGCGCAGCTCAATGCAATGTGACCATAAAAGCTAAACAAATAGATAATATGTATATGTACATATATTTATTTACTTACACATATATGTGCATATGAATGTACAAACAGAAAAACACACGCGCACCACAATGCACACTGAAAGCCATATAAAAAGCTGACAAGAGGCCAAAATTAAATACAAATAAAATACGGTGCGCATGAAATTCACCGTGACTGCATTGAGGGAGGCGAACACGCAGACAGAGGCATACACAGACGAACACACACACTCTTGGACTCTGAGCATAAATAAAAGAGAAAGTAAAAAACAAGATGCTGCGCATCAGTCCGAAAAAATTATGCATACTTATTATATTAATAAATACACAGATCATTTTCAAAATAGAATTAAACAAATCACTTTACATACATGCACACACTCTTAAAAAGGCAGTAACGCACACACATTTGCATTTGGTAGGACACGCAGCAACAATGCGCTGATCAGCGTTGCCAGCCAAGTGCAGAAGAACCTTGGCAACCATATATTTCCCATTTCCGATTAATAACTTCCTAGCTTATAAACAACATTTAAAATTGCCCAAATGTACCTCCAATCAATCTTTGGATCAGGCTCGAGAATTTTCTTTACACTTGAAGCCAATGTAAAAATCAATATCGTTTTTGTTCGCTTTACCTCTGGCAAAGCTTTATCGCTGCACACTCCGTAACACTAGAATTGCGTAGTTTTTCGCATATTGTCATGCATAGGCTAACAAAATGTATTATTAAGTACTTGTTGCAATCAATAAATGCACACGAAACGAATCCAACTTTGTCTAAAAAGCTATCAAAAAATGCAAATGGTCGACATTTTGTTTTCTGTCTGAAAGGCCACTCGCTGCTGCTGCTGCTGATTCGACGAAATACACAAATGTGTGTATGCATATAGCTGCGAGTGTATATGTGCGTGTGTGTCTCGTTTGGCTGACCAGCGGAGCCCCAGCAGCTAAATTACGTTCGGCACTTGCCACAATCTAAATACTGCATTTACATATGTAACTTTGTTGAGTTAAGTGTAACGCAGAGATATTACACTTACCTTTTTGCTAATGGTTTATAATAATTTGCACAATTTTCACAGTTACTAATATTTAAACACGTAACTAAACTCCGACTCCGACACTGCCGTCAACAGCACAGGTCACACTGTTCTCGAAAACAGTGTTACCAAAAACCGTTAAACAAAAATCTTACTATGGTATATCGATATTATATTATAGCACTAATTGTAACTTCCAAACATCTACAGCAGCTGTTGTTGATAACCAATACACATATATCGATATATTCCTAACAACCCTATTTACTGTAATTTGTATTTTTACAAGCAAAAAGCCAGCCCGCGCACAGACAGAACTAGTGCTTAATTTTGTACCAGAACTAAAATATTTTAATAACTAAGTTTAAGCAACACAGAAAAATAAATACGTCACGTCGATAGGTATCTGCACACTCTCAAACTCACACATACACTCAGCTCTACGTGCATTCAGAGACGCTCCCAATAAGAACGCGCCAACAGTCATCAAAAGACAACAACAAGCGGCTTATCAGAACCAGAAGAAAGAACAACAAAAACTGAAGAAGCAAACATTGACAAACTAGAGCTGCAGCCTTGTCGACATTCGTCGCTCATTACACACAAACTGGTTACGTTGAGAATTTTCTGTTGATTCGTCTGTGACGTGTCCCAGTTACTACGATTACATACAAAAATGTGTGGTTCACCGAACACAGCTGCCGGCTCTGGTGCCCGGGCACTCATCCTGGTTGGTGGCTATGGCACACGTCTGCGTCCCTTGACACTAAGCACACCCAAACCTTTAGTGGAGTTCGCCAACAAGCCGATATTGTTGCATCAGCTGGAGGCTCTAGTCGACGCGGGATGCCGTCAAGTGAGTTTTTAGTTTCCCAGCAACAACAACAGTTACATAAAGAAATTTCTCTGCAATGTAGGTCATATTAGCAGTCAGCTATCGGGCAGAGCAAATGGAGCAAGAGCTGAAAGTAGAAGCAGACAAACTGGGAGTCGAGCTGATATTCTCACATGAAACCGAACCGCTGGGCACAGCTGGGCCACTGGCGCTGGCGAAGCCACTACTGTCGGCCAGTTCGGAGCCGTTCTTTGTGCTCAACTCGGATGTGATATGTGATTTCCCGTTCAAGCAGCTCATGCAGTTTCATCGCAACCATGGCAAAGAGGGCACCATTGTGGTGACCAAAGTGGAAGAGCCTTCCAAATATGGCGTCGTGCTCTACGATGAGCTCGGGTGCATAACAAATTTTATTGAGAAACCCCAAGAGTTCGTCAGCAATAAGATTAATGCCGGCATTTATATATTCAATCCCACGGTGCTGGATCGCATCGAAGTGAAGCCCACGTCCATCGAGAAGGAAGTATTTCCGGACATGGCGCAGCAGCAGGAGCTGTATGCCATGGAGCTGTCTGGATTTTGGATGGATATTGGACAGCCCAAAGATTTTTTAACCGGTGCGTCATAGTTGCTGCTATCTAACAATTGGCCTTATCAGCTTAACGTACAGCGACATGTCTTTAATCAATTTTATCTGGTTTCTTGGAATATCCGCTGCCACAAACAGCCCCAATGCATGATAGAACGTTTCTAATGAGCCATAATTACTGATAAGCTGCTTTTCCGGGGGCCGGGCTGGGGGATGCTCATCGAAGCAAAAGCACAAGATATAATTATGTTTTTTCGATTGCAGGTATGTGCCTATATCTTAGCTCGCTCCGGCAGAAGCAATCGAGCAAACTGTACACGGGCCCCGGAGTGGTGGGCAATGTGCTGGTGGATCCAACTGCCAAGATTGGCGAAGGCTGTCGCATTGGACCAAATGTCACCATTGGACCCGATGTGGTCATCGAAGATGGTGTCTGCATCAAACGCTCGACCATCCTAAAGGGCGCCAATGTGCGCTCGCATTCCTGGCTGGACTCCTGCATCGTGGGCTGGCGTTCGACGGTCGGTCGCTGGGTACGCATTGAGGGTATCACAGTGCTGGGCGAGGATGTCATTGTCAAAGACGAGCTGTACATAAATGGGGGTCAAGTGCTGCCACACAAGAGCATCGCAGCCAGCGTGCCGGAGCCGCAGATTATCATGTGAAATCGGACGCTGTTCCTCCGTGCAATTAGTGGCCTATTGTAAATATAATTTAGCTGTTTCGTTTGCACCGATTGCCTTGTGTTTGTTTCGATGTGTCCTACAATTTAAGCTGTCAGTATGTCAATATTTCAATATTCTAAATATGTAACGAAATCAAACAATACACATTTCCATTAATTAGCGTGGCTAAAATGCAGTCCTAAGACTAAAGTCGAGCTAGCGGCAGTTTTGAGCAAAACTTTTTCACAAACGAAGCATAAGTTTTTTACATAATCTGTATTGTAGTCAAATATATATCAATTATATTATATGTAATAATAATAATAATAATATTTAAAAGGGTAATCTTGTTTAATATTATTGGATAAGGACTCTATATAGTGGATTTTCAGAGTTGTAAAATAAATTTATAACAGAGTATTTATTCTTCTTGATATGCCCTCTGGTTACTTAGCAACAACAAAAAGGGGCTGTAAGCCTTTAGGCCAAAGCAGAAAGTTCATATTCTCGGTGAAAAAATGTTGGCGACTTTGAGCAAAGCGGATATAGCCCAGCAGAATCTACTCTGGGAGGACAAGGAAATCAAGTTTGATGTGCCTCAACTGTGAGTTATGCAATTTAAGCTAAGAACAAATTCTAATTTCTAATTAATTTGCAGACACACACGTTTGCACTGCGGCGAGAAAATATTGGACACCATCAATCACATAGAGGACAGCAAGGGCAATCCCGGAGATACGGGAAAACTGCTGGTTACCAATCTGCGCATCATTTGGCACTCGCTGGTCCACAAGAAGTTTAATTTGTGTGAGGGACTTGAAGAACATTTTATAGAATATTTCCTAGTCCAACTTAGTCCGACTTAGAGGGCTTTAATCAGTTCCCTTTACACCTAGACCGATCAGGCTATAATTGTTGTCTATTATCCATAGTCAAATTTCTAATTGCAGCTATTGGATATGCTCGCATTGGAACCATCAATACGCGGGTGGTGCACATGCACACCAAGGGCCGCATACCTAGCCAGGCGCTCTACATTTTGGCCATCAGCAATGAGACCCGATTTGAGTTTCTCTTCACGGATGTCTCCGGCGAGACAGCGCGTCGGGATCAGCCCATCTTTGCTAGCGTTTTCGATGTGCATCTGTGAGTGGCAAGTCTCAGCTATAATTAACAATTATCTCCACCTAATTCTCTCTCTCTCTATCTTTAGTTTGTATCAGCGCACGTTTCTCTATAGGGATCTGAAGCTGCGAGGCGCTATAGTGCAGGCGGGTCAGCTGATTCTGTTGCCGAATGAGCAGGTGTACAGCCAGGTGCAGGGCGTCTGGAACTTGTCCAGCGATCAGGGCAACCTGGGCAGTTTTGTGGTGACCAACATACGTCTGGTCTGGTATGCGGATGCCAATGAGACCTTTAACATCAGCCTGCCCTACCTGCAGATCGAAAGCGTGAGTCCATGCATCCATCCGAAAGGTGTCTCGCTGGTTAAGTAATTCACTTTCAGCTGCGCATACGCGAGTCCAAATATGGTCCCGCTCTGGTCATACAGACCGCCGAGACGGGCGGCGCTTATGTACTGGGCTTTCGCATTGATCCCGTGGAGCGTTTAACTGAGTTGTTCAAGGAGCTGTGCTCCCTGCACACCATCTACACAGATCAGCCCAATTTCGGTGTTCACTACGATCCGCAGGAGGCGCGCAAGCGCGTTGCAGCCGCCGCCGAGGAAGCTGCCCAGGCAACACAGTTCAAAATCGAGGACTATCACGAGCTGGACGAGCGACAGGAGCGCGAGATAAATACGAAGCTAAATAGTTATCTGGCCGCAGGCTGTTCGGGTGCGCTGTCCACGGAGCAACAGTTGCAGACGCCCATCTACTGCAAGGAACTGGGCTTTGCCATGGAGCGTATACCGGATGGCTACAAGCTGCAGGATCTATGGAATGTGATGCCCACTAAAATGACAGATTATGATGAATGAGAGATGAAATGAGTTCTACGTAAATAATTACCTTCTAGGATTAGAGAGTTAAGTAGAGTTTCCAGAAAATAACCTACTTGAAGTTGGAATTCTTTGTCCGTGGAAATTGTTATATCTTATTCTATCCCAGACAAAGTTTCCCATTGTTTAATCAGACAAATACATACATTAAATTTACTTTATGTTTGATGTTTTTATTGACGCATACAACTCGCTGTGTGTTTCTTTTGCTTAATTATTTTGGTTTTCTTTTGTTTTGTCATTTAAGTAGTTTTGCTCTTATTATCGTATTATTCATAGATTTGAATTTTGTTGATTGCAATTAGAATTCGAAACATGAATAATGCTTTGGGCTTTTAGATGATCTGTGACTGCAGCTACTTTGCCCGATTCGTTGGTATCGCAATGCTTAGAAATTATATAATTGTAATTTTAAATATACTATTTGTTGCTAATTAATTCTTTTACTTTGTGATTGGATGAGAGTTGTCTTAAGTTTCCGGCTCTTTTTTTTATTTGTTTAAAGCAAAACAAGAATTTTGCCGACTTTTTTGCATTTTGTTTTTAGGTTTTTATAAATTAGTTCATATCACAACACACAGTTGATTTGACCGGCATGCATTATAATCAATATTTATACATATACTATGTATATATAGTTTGTATATATATTTTATATTTATTTTATTTATACGTGAATGAATTGTTTATTTTGTTTTCTAAGCTATAAAGTCTAACAAACTTAATTAAATGTAGGAAAATTAATATTAGTTGTGGCGTTTTTTCTTCTTCTTCTTCATATTTTTTGCCTCAGAGGCAGTCCGATATATAATTTAAGAATATTTGTAGAGCCTACTGAAAACGATAGATGGGCCGACAAATTATATATATGTTTATATCGATTTTGTATATGTATTAAAATCAAAATATCATATCAGGAATGACTTATAAATTACAATTTGTATTCCGCTTTCTTTTATTTTACAATTTTCTTAGCATTTTTTTTAATACTTTTTTCTT